CGTACGTTGCCAAGAAAATTATGGAACTATGCAAATTTTTAGTTTGATCCGAGCAGACCGTAAACGTTACCGGTTCGAAAGATATAAAGTCCTTCTTTCGCACGCGGACGCGCGGTATTTGCAAATTCCAGCGGATGAAAGTTATTATTAACAAACTGTCTGCAACAATCGAAAAACATAACGAGAAAAACAGACTATTTGCCCGCGGGATAAACAGCTTCCGTGGAACGTTTAGCTACAATGTGGAACTCGAGTGGTTGAATCTTAATTCTAAAATATCAGCCGACTGCGTGTAATATAGCGACAAGGACAGCACGAGGGACCACTTGCGGTAATAATTCAACTGATAACGCGTAAACACGTACTGATGCAACGATGCGAAGATCTACAACGGCGATTTTAGTCAGACAACGGGAGTAAAATGTCTCGCTCGGAGAATGGGCATGCACTCTCGTCGATAAAACGTAATTGCGCTCTTATTGAACTTCGGAAACTTTGGAATTGCTTGGAAAAAAGTTGCTCGCGGAGAATCGAGATCTGCCAGAATTTATTGGAATAATAGACGTGAAATGAAAATGTCTACAGCAATTTGCTCGCATTTATTCCGATAAGTTTTTAATCGCTTTAACCGATGTATAATAAATGCATCTCTGGTCGGAAAACTCGAACAGTTGAACATTAACGATCTGAATCAAATATGGGTTGTGGTTCGAATAAATTAAAAAGAAAAAAAAAACGAATTCCATAAATTTGTGCCAGGTTACAAATCTACTAGTAGTTATGAATAAATTTGTATGAAGTTTCATATCAACTAATTATGTATACTTTCACTAAAATGCATTATTCACCGAATACATTCGATAATGACTTCATACACTCTCTAGTTAAAGTGAGCATTATATGTTTCGATGTATACTTTCACTAAAATCTCTACTAAATGTAGGCATTCATTACCGAGTGCATACATGCTATTCACATTTTAATTGTAACTCGCGTATCAAGATGGGCCACACTTCTAAAACGTATTTACAACAGTCGTTTATCTTCGATTCGATACTCGGTGTTTTTATCTAGATAAGAATTTTAGACTGTTTTGAATCGCCATTAAGAAAATAATATAATGAATTATTAAAATCGTGCGAGTAACTTTCCATCGGAACGTATCTGTTCAAATACGATTTCTTTTCTTTTTTAATCGAGCATAGTGCGTGGGGTTACAATATAATCGATAAAGTTGGCTCATCTGAATCCGAGTCGACAACTTTTTTTTGTACAAGTTCAATTTCATGATCCCCCCGTATAATTTCGTTCGTTATAAATTATTCGCGGGATCTTCGTACGGTGATCTCTCCAAAGGTTTCAAATTAAAATTCGAAGTTGAATCTCCGATCGAGACGAACGATAAATCTTTTCACCCGTTTCCCAACGCGCTCTTTTCAACGTTGTCCCCCTAATTAATTACAAAACCAACGAATCAAAAAGCATTCGGGAACTCCACCTTGCGTATTGCAATATTTAAATACGTAACACGCTGACGTAAAAAAATTCTTACATCTTTATGTGCTCGGTGATACAACGCGTCGCGAGTCAACAACTCCATCTCTGACGTAAACAAACCAAGATAGCGAATAAAAAGTTTCCGCAAGTTGCTCGCGGAACTTGTGCAAAATTTTAATCTGCTGTTTATCGCGATGCGCTTATGCATAAAACATTCGCGGCGCCCGTTTAAACTTGAACAATGTTAATCGCCGGGACTAGTTTAATCCGAGTCACGCGAACCGTAACGAAAGGGTTCAGCTTCGTTATTAGAATATTCGAACGAGACAGTTTACAGTAACGTTAACAGCCGTTAATTGGAAGTTCAAAGCCGGCTGTGTGCGGTACGCGTAAACACGTTTAATAAAACAGCAACTGGACGCTAATAAACGCACGACAAACATAAACAGTTCTAAATCCAGCTCCCTCTTAGCGTAGATAAAATTTATAAAATTTATCATGACGAATTACGTCACGCGTGAGACGTGAACTTCGACGATAATCGACGCATTCGAAATACAAAAGTTAACGCGTCATCGACCAATTTGTACAAGATCCCTCGAGAGCGTTTGCATTTCCGCGCTCTAGCCGCTGCGAAAATATCGTTGTCGTTCCGAACGTTTCTTTCTAATCTAACGACTTCGATCTTAACTTTGGGAATTATTTTATTGCACGCCATGTGGTCCGAGTAAAGCGTTACAAGCTGTTCCCTTGGAAACCAAGGATGAAGGAGGAGTCCAAAGGGGGCATGTGACCTTTTTGGTTCAGATAAACTTTATTCAGTTCGATAGAAGCTATCCAAATGATCAGCTCTCGTTTTTATATCATCGGTAGTTTAAAAAATATTTGGACGTCGCGCTTCGCGTGCCCCACCCTAGGTATTAAATCCGTCGAAAGGCGTAACGTTTTCCGATTGGTGGAATGATTTTGGTGACTCGTAATTGGTAGAATGTGGCGTTTCCAGAGTCGTTCCACCAATCGGAAACCCAGCGTCATACATGCGCAGAAACCTCGTGGCAAATTCGATGCCCCCCCTGGTGTACTTTATTTGATTATAAATGTTTCATGCACCACCTTCTCTTCCGTTGATATCGCGTATTCTAAATTAATAATAATAAACGATTCTACGTATTAGAATCGTACGACATATGTACTTTCACGTTTCGACCCTTATTACGGGCCCTTTTCAAGCATCGATCTCATTTACAAATAAAATTAAAAATACCTTTTCACGGTGATACGGAAAATTATTGTTACTCAAAATAGATTAAAATATTCTGATATCGGTGATTAATGGGGCAACCACGTGTTATTTGGTGCTAAATCCATGCACGAATAGATCGGGTGTGTCGATTATGAACGTTACAAGCTTTCTTATCCTACAGGTATATTATAAATAATCTGACATGAAAAATAAAAATAGACTCGACGAATTAGAATATCAAATTTTTCTACACCTCTCCGTTCGCCTGATGTTTCGTCAACGAGCGTTCGTATCTCTAAACATTCGTATCAATTTCCGCGAAATAAATCGTAATTAAGGCATTTAACTCTTAGTCGCCCTCAACCATAACTATTGATTTAAAGGTCTATCTACGACGACGTACAGAACGTGTCTATTCTTGATAAGTCAAATTCATTAGCGTGCATACCCACTATACAAAGAGTACATTTTACAAGTCACGCCAAGAATAGATAGACAAATTATTTAAGAGAAATTCGTATAAACATGACCTCTTTCGCTTCTGCCTCCGGCTTATAGCCACTTTTGTGTTCGAGCAACTTATAGCTGCTTCCCTTCGCATCAACTGCTCAAAATGACCACCTTACACCTGAATACGAGCCTGTAAACATCTCGTCGTAAATCTTCTTAAGCCTACGTTTATTTATTTATGCGTGCATTATTCAGAGCTGCGGATGAGGCACGATGCGAATTTTTGTTTCGCCTCGATTCTCAATTTATACCTGAAGTGACTATACATTGCACGAATAAATCCCGTCTACGTATAGAATATACCACCCAACATTACCATCTTAAATGGCTCCTCGGTCGACAATTGCAAATAAAATGTTTTTACATAAATGTTGCACCCGTATCAAAAACAGGCACAACGTGTTCAAGACGTTTCAAGACTATCTTTATAAATAATTGACAAAATAGACCAAACTAAAATTTCAAAAATCTAAAATGCAGATCCCGATAATCAAAATACTGATTTTCATAAAAATCAAAACCTAAAGTCATCGCGATTGCTTTTCGACCCTGTAAAGGTTAAATAATGTTTACTTAAATTTAAAATTCAAATTCTTTGGTGTCATAACTTTTCCTGTTCGCGGGAGACAAACAATTTCCAAGATAAGTATTACCATAAATCAATTCTCGCAAATATTTGATTCTCATCGTGGTATAACTTTATTATCTCATACTCGAGTATAATAAAATATAAATATCAGTGAACTTCAAATATTACTGTATAATGAATAGTGTAATAGAGAAATTCCGGCACGACGATCGCTGATTACCATAGTAACGTATTAAGGAAATAGACGAACGTAAACATGATCGTGTGAATGGGACGCAATTAAACAGAATAAATCGTCCGCAGAAATGACTGTAATAATTGGCAACTTTCGTTTTATGGTGAGGAACGTCATCAAAAGATTTAATAACGAAGAATCGTGCACGTCGTGAACACCCGCATAAATTGCCAGGAAGAGATCGTTCGAAATGTTTTTAAAAATTATCTATCAATATCTGCCAATATTTATTTATTTTTTTCTTATTATACTTGAATACGAGACAATAAAGTTACATTCTGGTGAAAATGAAACGTTTGCAATAATTTCGTTACTGTTTACGATTACGTTCTGTGGCAATATTTATATTCAGCAGCGTAGATAACCGCATGCAACCCTTATACATACTAATAGGCAAATTAAACCACCCCCAAATGTGCAAAAACAACGCTGTAAGAATATAGGGACGCTAGAATTTCGTTCCTGTCAGGAAACATGTAAAAATTCACGAGGGTACTACTTTGATTAAGCACGCGATGGTTGAAAAAGGTTACAACGCCTTTGAAGTTCGATCGACAAAAAACGACATTTCACATGCACCAACCCAACATATTAAGATCGATCAGTAGGAAATAGACGCCTTTCTAGCCGCAACACGGCCGCCTCGGCTAAGGTTAGAAGAAGGATTTCCTGCTTACGAGTAAAAGCACACGCACTGTGTGCTCTTTTACGTGGCTCCATTTTGTTTTATGTGCCATTAAACAACCCACTTTCGCGCGCTAGCATTGTCGTCAGCGGAGGCGCAGTAACGTAACGCGCCGCGGACAGTGCAGACAGTGAAACGGTAAACGATATTTACTCCGCGGCGTTTCGGAGTTCGATAAAGTAAATAGGCATGACGGAACGTCGAGGAAGCAGAGAGAATGAAAAAGAGACAATCGACTTACCGAGTCGGAGTTCCCCAAAGTTGCCACAACCGATCTTCTTGCCGACACGGAAGTTGGGACCGACCATCTGCACTGGGTTGGACGACGACGTGACACTATGCCTCGAGGAATGCACATTGGAGGATCTGGCAGCATTGTTACCGCTGCCACGGGAGGTCCTCTTGGCGGCTTCCTGGTCGCGTTCGGAGTTACGCGCGAGCTCCTTCTCGCGCGTATCTCTACCGTCTCTTTTCTGCATTTTGCTATATAGTGTCCTCCGTGGTGGCCGAAGTATCCGCAACAGTTCGTTTAACTGCCGAGGTGAAACACGCTCGTTTCAACGGTCAAAAACTATACCCCCGACACGTCGAACAATAAACCCGGTCGATTTCAGTGGTCGCAACGCTGTACGTTGTTGTATCGGGGATCGATCCCCATTCTTGACATATTTTCTTTTCTCGTCTTCCCTTGGACAACCGCCGATGGAAATAAATACTCCAGCGGCTTCCTGGGGAGGATATACACGCACACAACACCACACGCACGCACGCACGCACGCACAGACAGGAGAGACACACCGTATACGCGGCGAGTCGCAGGTGTCACGGTTCGTCGGTCGATGCCTTCAGGGGATCAATCCCCATGCTATCCTAACCTCGAAGCAGATTTCAAGAAAACTGTTTACACTTAATACGAATACGGTATGAATAAAAGGGCACAACGAAGGAGTAACACGCGCGAAACGCACGCACAGCTATCTCTTTCCCCCTTTTTTTCCTTCTTCTTCTGCTTCTATCTGTTTCTATGCGGCTAGTAGTTATCAGAGACGGGAGCGAGTGTTCGTCGTGTCGAAGGCCCTGGACGATTCCATACCAATTTCGACCTGGCTCCGTTCTCACCCGGCCGGCCGGGAGGAATAGTCAAAGATAAATGTCGCGTCTCAGTCAATACGGCGTGCATCGCCGTGACCTGTTCTCTTGCACGGGAACACACTCGGAAACCACCTCCATTACAAACGGCCCCGCCGCGTGCGATCCCGATCGTACTGTTCAATCTCTCGTGGCCCGATAGACAGACCGCGATAGGCCTGCCTCACCACCGCGGCGGACTCGATTCTGTGGTTACGATTCGGGGAGCGCCGCCGTAGCGGCTCTGAACCGTTTCCCGGTGACACGCACACAGGCACCATGCACTTCGCGAGCTTCGTATGTTCTCGTTCTTGTCTAAGGAAAGTCCGCAGTCGTGTCACCACCAGTATGCCCGATCGGCTATTGTGTGCCCACACACGAGCCCGGATTAACCGAGCAGTCCCTCGCAGTCTCTATGCCGATACCTCACCGCCAACTTTCCGAATTTCCCTTTTGGAACTTTGGTTAGACGGATACGACTATTTTCCTGATTCTACCGTCTACCGATCGCACGCACGCTATTCGAAAGAGCTGTCGAACGCGGACAAACGATCGCGGACAAGCTTACGCTCCTGTCTCTCGCGCTCGACTCGACATGGGTGAGATTTGTTACGAGGCCGACAGTGCTGCCAACCCGATACGAAATAAGGCCGCGTTCCCAACGTCCTACCCCGATACTGACGCCCTCCCTTCTGCTCGACCACTAACAATACATATGTAAGCTTTCGAGCGATTTTTCCGTTGATAAAAACAATTCGTTTCTCTTTTCTCTTTTCGTTTCTCTCACTAAATGATTTTTCAAGCATACGCGATCCTTCGATGTCCATGCGTCATTTTATAGAATTCCGATAAGATTAAATAAAAATATATTTTTTAGTAAATATTGAAATGTTGTTACCAGGCTATTATGCACAGCTAATTATCTATCTGTATCTACCCGATGGCAATAAACATGGCGTTGATTTGAATTTTCAAACAACACGAAAGAACTAGAATAAAACAATTGTTGCAACTGTAAAATTTTGCGACATACGTTAATTTTTACCCAATGTTACATTTCCGTAGATTTTGTGTCCGAAACGGTACCGTTCGTTTAACTAATCTGTGACATTGCGAGACAAAAATGTTGTGACGTTGAATATCTCCGTTTCCATGGAAACCGATTTGAATTTTACCAATTTCTTTTATATTCGTTAAATGTTTGCAGAATTTTTTTTTATTATTTTTGTGTATTATAACGCATATTATGGAAGAATTAGTGAATTCTGATGTCCGAATTGTTCTGAACATAAAGGAAGGTAAGTTTTATAATTTATTATTTACTAACCTTCTATTAACCATTTTGACCGACAATTAATGTAACACGATAGATTCTAATTGTTTAAAGCTATTTTTCTTTTATTATAATTTTGAATATATCAAATATATTTGAATATTAATAGAACAAAGATAAACTTTTTAAGTTCAGCGTCTGTTTTAAGTTAGACAAACAATTTAGGTGCATCACTGTACGAAATTCTTGTATTAATAACTGTAGGTAAAGGTTTTGACCAAATTTTACTACCCACATTGGTGGTTGCAACTTTAAATGGGCATTCGTTAGAAACTGAAGCTATAGAACCAAGTCCAAATCCTCAATATGATCATGCCTTGGTTTGGGAAATAAATAAGAATAGACTAAGAAAGTATGTATTATAAAGAAACCAAAAAGTTATTAAAAATACAATTATTTCAAAAAACCTTAACTTTATAGAATGAGGTCAGGGCAGGTTCCGTTAAAATTAGAATGTTTTGCTTCAAAGAGCAACGATGGTAAAGAGAAACTGGGATATCTTTTGCTTAGTCTAAGATCTGCACAAGTTTTTCCTAAAAATGAAGATGTTAATGTAAAGTCTCATTGGCATAAATTATTAGGATTGAAAAGTGATCTCAAAATACATAAACCTGAACTACTTCTCAGTCTGAGTATACATGACCAAGAATCTACAATATTAAATACTCGGTCAGAGGTAATAATTCATTTTCTATACTAGAAGTATTCTTTGATATTTGAAGATAACACAAATATTTATAAGCATTACATTATGTATGAAATTATAGTTAAAAAATTCTGAAGAATTTGAACAAACAGATTATGAACCTAATAAACTAACTCCAATTTTGCTTCGTGATGAACGTCTTATACAATTGGGCCCCTTAGATAGCTGTCATGAATTATTCTTGATGAATATCATAGCCATATCTGCAACAAATATAGATTTATTGTTACCAACAGAATATTGTACAGACATGAAAGATAATTCATATTTCTGGTGTAAAATATTAGAAAATGATGTATATTTTAATCAGACTAAAAAAGAACATGGAGAGCTTTGGGTGCTTAATGAAAAAATTGTAATAAGGATCAGGAGTTCTTTAAAAGTTTTGAAATCATATTTACAAGCAAAGCCATTTTTGTTCGTATATTTGAAATGTAAAGATAATGTAATAGGTCAGTCAGAAGTTAATTTACAACCACTAGTTCCTACCGATGATATTCAAGAATTTCTAAAAATTACAAGTAATAACAATACTTTGAATCAACGGTGTTATTTATACAAAAAAGACCTTATTGAAAATGATGAAATAAAGTTTGGCAATTCATATCTTGACTTACAACTAAAATTACAATATGTAGGAGATAAAACAGATATAGCAATGGATGTTCCAAGTATAGTATTCAATGATATAGTTGCTCTAAATTCTACTAACCAACAAAGATCTGATTTAAAACAAATAGTAAGTCCATTAACTTGTAAATTCAAATTTGTGAACACAGACATTGATAAAAGGAAAGAAACTTTGGATTATTTATATTTATGTTAACATGATTTCCAGAATTATAATGAAATAGATTACCATAGAAATCCTGCTGGTGACTTTGGAAGATATACCACTGGAGTTCAAATGTTCAATTTTTCAAATGGATGCAATGTTCCAAATAAACATTCCTTAAATTATGAAATTGTAAAAGATCAACCAACTAAAGTCATAAGTTCACAATCGGTTGACACACTGCCATGTCAGTGCAGTGTCAATGATTACTCTAAAAATGTAGAAGCATATCATTGCTATTGCTTGAATATTTTATTGATAGCAATTAAATCAATATCTCCAAGACTAACAGTTCCAAATATAGAAATTCGGTATTTACTAATTTACAAATTGAAATTCTAACATCTTCATATTACTGAAGATTATTAAATTTACCATATATTCCATTGTGAATGCAGATTACATCATCCAAAAACTGAAATCATGTCTACATTTTGTCCAAAAATGCCACTTTTGTTAGGAGAAAAAGTGAAATTACAAGATGTAGGGTGTAAATTACATTTTATATCAGCAACAAATGAAATAAAACATTTATTGTTATCTTTTCCACCCAAGATTAGTATATATAAAATAGAAGGAAATAACAAAACATGTATATCTCAGAATGTAATTGATATAAAACAATTATTTCATCAAAATAAGGTAATATAATATAACGAAATATTTGTTAAATTACATATACATATCAAGTAAAATTTAATAAACCCTTCTCAGTCCGAATGTCAGTGCGATATACCATTGTATGACATGGAACAAAATAATATTGGTAATTTAGATATTATGTTGAACTTAGAGGATCATGGTCCATATTACAGAATTAAGAAAAAAACACCTAGTAAGTTCTACACATTTTGATATGTATTAAAACAAATTATTTGTTACACCTTAGTACAAATATTTTCGAATTAGGTGAAAATTTAGGACCACCAATCTTGGATGATAGTTTAGCATACAAAATAGTTGATGAATTAGAGACATGGAAAGAACGACAAAAAGAAATATTTAAAGTTGAGGTAAAATTCTGCATTAATATAAAATTAATAGAAATATATTCTATACGATTTTTCTTCGGCAAATTAGTTAAAAAGAAAAGAAGATCGTCATTTAAATTTACTAAGCGAAGAATGGCAAAAACATCGTGAAAATTTAGAAGCAAAACTTGCGTGTAGTGTTGAGCAATGTAAAATGTTGGCAAACAGTTTAAATAGTGCTACAGACGACTTAAGAACACGAAGATTGAAAAGTCTTGAAAAAGAAACTAGATTAATTAAAGCAAATGAGGATTTGCAATGGAAATACGAAACAAAATTACGAGAACTTAAAGAATCATTTCATACAATGCAAGAAGAACTTATGTTAAAGGTCAGTAAGATCGCTTACTTTCCGAAATATATGAAAAATTACGCATTTTTAATATATTATAGATTAATGCTCTTGAAAAAAGAAAGACTGCTTTAGAAACGCAAGTCGAACAATTAAGTACTGAGAATGAAAGGTTGCAATTGTTTGTAACAAAACAATCGGAAGAGTTAGAAATTTATCAGAAGGGATCCTTGACGCAAGACCAAACAACAAACTTGTTACAAGAATTAAAAGTACTTGAAAAAAAATTACAAAATGCGCTTGAAAGTAAATCATTTTTCAAAGAACAATGGGCAAAAGCAGTTCGTGAAATACATCGCATGAAAACGGAGTATCAGCAAGCAATAAAAGTTCAAATAAAAAATAGCAAAGAAGAATTGCAAAACTTGGAGTATGTATGATTTAAAAAAATTAATATGTAAAATATTAAAATAGAAAATTATGTTACTTTTATTATTTTTGCAGTTTAGAACAAATATTATCTGCAGATTCTACTGCTTTAACAGATGATAAAATTTTGTTAAATGAAATTCAGAAGGAAATCGACGTGATTAAACCAAAATCATCCTTTATTGAAAAAGATACTTACTGTCAAGCTTTCATGCCAACTAATATAGGTCCAAAAATTTCACAAAATAATGATAAAAATAAGTTCAAAAAATCAGAGGAAAATGATGAACGACTGCAAGCACTTCTTGAAGAACGTGATTCTCTTTTAAAAACCGGCAGTTACACAATTGATGATGCAATTATTATGAAATTGAATACGGAAATAAGATCTTTAATGATAAAGTAATTAACAAATTTATAATTGTATGCGAACTATGCTACAAGGTATATACATTAATACTAGTAAATAAATGCATTAGTTTACAAATTTTCAGAAATTATTTTTGTATAAATTATTTACAAAATAGTAACATGATACAATATTATAGAATATTTTGTAACTACCTTTACGCGCACATACCGTGTTTATTTAAATAAATGCGTTGTATCCGTTTTTGTTGTTGTCCATTTATTCATAAATAAACATCTTGTCTAGTTACACCTTCGATTACTGGAGTTACTAGTGTATCTTGAATGTTTCGAATCTTTTCGAAAAGTCCATATTTTTCCGTATTTTATATTTTTGCAATTTATTTACAGTAATATAAAATGTAGTCTTCGAGTTTAGAAAAATGGTTTAAGGAAAGCATCAGCTTAAAGAAAATTTTGTTGATTGAACATCGATTGCTTTTATAAGACCCTTTCCAAGCACATAAAAGTCTTGGATCATTGCGGGAATATTTAAAACCAATTGACCGTCGTTGTTGCATTTTCGACAATTGATATTTGATACCTTAAAATCTTTAACTTCTAAAGCAGTGGGTTTCAGTAACACTCCTATTACTGTGCCACCATAAGTATCATGAAAGAATAGAGCAAATTCGCTGTAACCGTCCTAAAAATGTCAACATTAATAATTAATTACAAAATCGTAAAAACATTTGTATTTCAACAGGAAATACTATAGAGAATAATTAATATTTTAACCTACTCGTAATTCTTTCAACAAACATTGTACAGGATCAAACCCTACAACTGGTATCTTCTGTTCTGAATGTGATTTGTAAGGATGCCAGTTGAGGACTTGATATTCTTTGCTAACGTCAATTGCCTGTAGTTTTCTAGGAACCATATGTGGCATTAAATGTATTAGGCAATCGTATTCCGTGAATGGTGGCCTGAATAAAGGCTTAACATCTAATGCATCTTTTGTTAGAAGTTGATCTTCGAACAATTTTAACGATTGTCTTGCCAACATAGTAATACGATTTAGAATTAGAGTTGTTGGTGCTTTTTTAGTCCATAATGATTTTTGCTGATCGTAGGGAGTAGATATAAATAACGGCGGCAGAGAGTCGCGAGACGATGCGAAAAGGGTTTCTACAGCCGCGATTTCTTCACCTATTATCCCATATATATTAATAACAGAAAATACAATGGTCTTTAATGTTACTAGAAATACTTACTAGACATTTCGTTATTAAAATTAACAATAATAGGATCTGTATTCCAATGGCCTCTTGCAAAAATTTCTAATATTCTCAAGAATGCTACTTGAGGCATTTGGGGTGGCCTATATGGTGCTGGTGTTAAGTACATTGAAGCCACGAATAACTCAACTACTATATCTGGTATATGAGAATCATCTAATAATTGGGCAGATAACCAACGTTTTGTTAAGCAACAAGCAGCTCCAAAGGATGGTTGTTGAGAATACAAACTACCAAGTAAGTAGTATCGTATTAATTTCCGATCATGAAGAAATAATGAAACACTTTATAAATTATGCTTACCCATGTAAAGCACCAGTTAGTTTTGGTAATTCGAACAATTTCTTCTCCAATTCAATTGAATCTTCATTATCTCTGTATTGTACGACCCCGTCATCAGTCACTTGTTGCTTTAAACAACTAATTTCTTTTTGGTGTGCTACTATTAACCGAAACACAAGTCCTTCCTAATAACATATTACTACATTTCAACAAACTGTCTACATCTAATCCTATTATTCATTCAACCGTAATAAACATAATAACCTTATATACATCGACATGCGAGAAATTTGCATTCGCTTTTAACGTGTACTGCTGTCTAAGGCATTCTGCAATTTGTATATGAAAAGCAGCTTTTGTTTTTCTAAATGCTTCTAAGTCATCTGGCCACTTTCCACTGGTTGATAACTGCAAGCTCACTTCAAGTGGGCAAACATACTTAGGAGCTACATCAACATTTTCTGACAACATTAAACACATTTCTCCTTCTTCGATAAGTTTATCATCGGGTCGATAAACTGTCGCGAGTGGTGGGAAAACATCTGTATATCGAAACACTGCGCTAGATCCTTGAACACCGTGTATTGATAAAGGAAGGTCTGTAAGAGACATCAGATCTTTTTCGAGACTATCAAGTACATTTATCACTTTTAGAGCAGCTTCTTCGCCCGTGCCGTAAGCAAAATGCGTTACTTTCATCTAAATGTTTAAATAAGATTTATTTATATATATGCAAATAAAATAATGATTAAATCCAGTATATTTACCTTTGATAATGTTAACAATTTTTCCATATCATTAGCAATGTACGTAAACTGATCGCTAGAAAGGCCTAATTTGTTCAGTAATACGAAACTTACAATGTTCTTACATATGAATCTTTTTGATGCTATTGTTTTGCCTTTTGACCAAACTACTGCTTCCCGTATAGATCCATCTTGAAATCGGCGTAATTCTGATTTTTTGCCCCAGAACTCTCTAAATGCAACTGCCTGTAATTTAATATTCATTTCATTAAAAGGAACTGACACTATTTATTATAGTGCTTAAACAGTTCACTCACATCTGGCAAATTTGCCTCAGGCCCTTTCTCAACAATATTAAAACAAAACTCTGGATTTAATTCCAGTCCAATAAAAATGTTTCCAATATCATCCTGTATATCTTCTGTACAATCCCACTCTGCAAATTCCTTTGGTAAAACACAAATTTGATGTACTCTGTCTTTTAATCCTTTTGTTAGCACATTATGAAGAATTTTTATTGCTTGGTCTCGGTAATTAGGACCATAGTCCAATTTGTCAATGCTAGTTGACTTAGAATCCACTATATTCTTTAATAGTTGAGTATTCTTGAAACTGCGTGATTGATTAACTTTATAGTTTCGCAAATAAATTTAAAACTATGTATATTACTTTCTACTACAGATTACATAAAAATAATTACCATATAAGGTGATCAAATGCTCTGTAAAATGGCACTTTTCTCATGAAAAGTGATTGAAAGCTATTAGCATGTGCAGTGTCTAAATGGCTCAAACTAAGTTTTGCTTCTTGTTGTACCCATGAGAAAGTAGTACTAGTAATGTATGCTGCAATATTATGATAACCAGTACGGTCTAAAAATACACAGTCATAATATTTTTTATAATTCAAAATCATTTGTTCACTATTCTCATCCTGACTCATTGTTATTCCTGTTTCACACCAACTAACTTGCACTAATAAATAAAGGGGCATTAATTATTAGTCTGGTATAAAGAAAAATAATTCATTTTTATTTATACCTTACCTAAATTAATCCATACATTCCTAACTATTTGATAACTACTCATAAATGTATTCAACTTCTTAATGGATAATAAATATAAAGTGAACATTGTTATGACATATCCATTGAAACTAGTAAAATCTTTTGTCAATTCACGCTGAGCTAACCATATCTTCAGTAAAATTATACCATCCCTCAAGTTTGGATATTCTTTTATCATTTTCATAGTTTCTATATTCATTCTTGACATTGTTAAATCATGAAGGATTATAGAATTGTAATGTGGTGTAGGTGATAAGTTTTCTGTAAATATTGGATTTATGAAAATAATATAATTTAAAAAATAAAAAGATCCAAGATATCTAAAATATACCATGTTTTTTGTCTTTGAAAAACCATTCAGGTCTAACACTGTTCTTCTCTGGTAAAAATCTATTTAGAGAAAAGCTTTCTTCTTGGGCTGCTATGTGCACCAATGCATTAACTTTTTTACCTAATTTTCCAGGTGGTATAATTTTTAACATTGGCCTTAAATTATTTCCAACAAACTTTTTGTCCTGTGCAATATCAACAGTCATATTAGATGCCAGATATGCCAAATACATTGCCTTCTTTTTTATGTATCTATAATTTTGATAGTCATGGTTGTGAAACATTTTAGCAGGCATTTCAATCATTACATCTACTGTAATGTTTGGGCCAACTGTAGCATCAAATGCATAAGACCCTACTACAACAATATTTGATGGCTTAAGAAATTCAAATTCCCCTTTAGTTCTTTTCCTTATATTAGGCATTGGAATATGCGCTTCTAATTCTTGTTGAAATTTGTTATCTGCAAGCTAAAATCACAATTTGAAAACATGACATTTTATTCCAATACCTCATATTTCATTAGAATAAAACTGCTAACCCGATATTGCTTTGTTTCATCCATTGATTCCACAGTCATCTGTAACTTTTTAAACCAAACATCAAATAGAGATTTATATTTATCTTTAATTCTAATTTCATTTAGCATCTCTTCTATTTGCAATCTGAATAAATTGGAATGAAACAAATTTTCTGTCTCCCTAAGTTGATTTAATTCTTCAACTGTTGGTTGTTTATATAAATCAGGCTGTAATTTTTTTTTCTTTTTCGTAGTAGTATTGGTAGTAGAATCATTGATAACTTTTCTTTTCTTTTTAACAGACATTAAATGGGAATTGTCTTCTGCATTGGATTCTTGCATCCCCTGTTCTTTGCCTTCATCTTCTTGATCTTCACTTTCATTAATTTCATCATTAGCATGATCATCACTTTCAAGTGCTGAGTCGTCAGAGGGATTCATTAAATCGTTTATATTTGCCTATGATAGAAAATATTTTATATGATTTCACGTTGTATACATACATATTTAAGGTTATATACAAATAATAAAATTTGTATTTATTATTCGAAAAAACATGCATACCTTATAATGAGGTACCTTCATCTTTATCTCTTAATTTTTCAAATACTATTCCTTTACCTCTGAAAATTTAATTTAAAACACGTACATATGTATGTAGTAGGAGTAATCAAAATACCGTGTTTCACGTGGTCGTCGTTCAAAGCTATAAGCTTTTCTCCCGCGTATTTCCTACTCACTGATACTTTTATCACACACACACACACAGTTGATCAAAACGAATAAATTGCAATTGTGTTAAACCGCGTTTTTTTTCTGAGCTTATAAGAACAAGAATACTCGAGATTCGAGACCCATAGCCATACGATTTTATCATTTACATTACTTCTATTACGGTTTTTAATTTATTATCAATATACTATCCGATAAGTTGAGGGTTAACGTTAAAAATAAAAAATAATATCCGTAAGATGGGTACATTATTTTAATTCCATTCGTGAAGAGAGCAAATACATTACTCTCCTATCATTTATTAGTTTATACTTATCAAACATGTCAAGATGTTCTACAATATATTTTAAGATACCAATTATGTACTACTTATTCTTACATCGTAGGCAACATGTATATAAGAAAAATAAATCATGCAGATTCTAAAAATTATTATACAAAACCATTTAACAATAGGCTCAAATTTATGTCTACCGCTAGACGTTGCAGATAGAAAAATATATTGCGTTTTCTATATTGTATGAACATACGTGTACTTAAGGTCGTTGCATCGAAATGCATTGAAAAAGTCGTAGATCGCATGTATAACGCAATATAATCTATATAAAATATAACAAAGATCATCATTTTCTAGAATTAAAACAAGTGAAATATAGGCTTAATAATATGTAGTTAAATAGTATGTATATGTAACTTGCATTAGCATACAAGTATATACAGGATTTTAAGTTGTTTCCTATGCTAAAGTAAAACAAAAATTTAGGATGACGAAATTGCATTTGAGTCCTGTTGTCGTCATCAGGATGTTGTATGTATACATATACATATGTGTATGTGTTACAAAAGGGAGAATTTGTCTATAGTAATTTCATGTGTATATGGGTCACCTAAAATTACAAAAATAACAAACATTATGATAAAATTGTCTTAGTTCGTCATATTACACTAAGATTATATTAAATCGAGAAATTAACGAATACATAATTGTACATAGGCGAACGTATAACTAATCGTTAAAGGATAAAGTAAATGACAAGTATAAAATATTATGATTCTTATTTTTGTAATTAGAAAATAGAATAATAGAAGACTTATGGACATCAATTCCACATAGTGAAAAGTGTAGTAGTGATTTTGCAATCGCAATGACCCTCACAATGGAAGCCCACGTTTGGAGGAAGAACGTGAAATGAATATCCATATTAAAACAAGTTGCAACAATAGTACGTATATGCATCATCATATCTTTAACATGATATTAAAAATCTTTACGGTATAAACGTATTGTTCTATAACGTACAACTTATCTTGCACCATTTTCGGAAGAACTATTCGTATATGAAATAAGCCTTACCGCCATCGATGTTCTAATGAATGAAAAATATATTATACTAGATTAAATTACAGTCGATTAACGATTAAATATTACGCGTACTAATTATAAATTACTTAACGTTCTACGACTGAGTGGAAAGGTGGGATTTGGAAAACTAAATTAAACAAACTTTACAATTAGCACCTTCTTAGGTTATTGAAACAAAACATACAAGTGCATTTTGACAATAATAATAATAATAATAATAATAATGTGCAGAGCATACATTTTTTGTAAAGAAATCTTCCTGAAAATAAGCTTTCAACAAAATATAACATTATCTATATCGCATTTCGTTGATATATTTTTCTTTTATATGTATTATACGATATGATGTACCTTACTGCATAACTTTTGATAAAATGATATGCAATTCTTATATATATACATCCCACAAAATGTTATTTCCAAAATGCTACCAGACATATGAATAACCTTTGTTTATAAATTCATTGATAAATAAAATAAATAACATTTACTTCAAAAATTATGCAGTAAAAATTACAGTACAATCAATTGTAGATTAGAGAAGCACATAAAAATAATTGATTTGTCTAAATTGTATAATATACATATAACGGATCAACAAGTAAGCACAACCAAACAGTATAAATCTTTGAACAAGCGCATATTCAAATTTTCTGTTTAGACAATGTTATAATTATACATTAATGAGCCGAATGTAATTTCTAGATTATTCAGATCAATATTGATGCACTGATCATTGTTATCTTAAAAAGCAAATATGCAAGTTAATCTTTTCTTTTTATAATCAATTCAAAAAGTTACCTAATATTTACACAATCTATAATAAACAGAACCATGTACAATTAAATTGGTCAATAATAAAATATAATACATTAATATATACTATTGTCTTAAAGCATACTATGATCACATTAATTATTAAATTATTGGATGTGAAAAATAATTACAATAATTCATCGGAGATTTCAGGAGCAAGTAGCAATGTTTCTTTGCACGCATCAATAATTATGCTGAAATGCAGAGAGCTCATATATAAATTAATGATATATGGGAATATCTTTCCTAATATGTTATTAAGCAATATGCATAATTCCGTATTTAGTAGAAATTAATCATTTTTCAAAATTATTATCGAGACATTTTGATTTCAACATTAAATAAAAAGATCGTAAATTTTGATCAAAGTAAATTAGAGAGCATTGTAAAAAATTATTTTCAAAAATCACTATAATAAGTAATGTGATAAATAATAATGCTATTTCAATAAACAAATAATCATATTGAAAACTGAAATGTCGAGATATTAATGCCTCTATACTGCTATATGATTGGTCCAATCACAATTAAACCAATTACACAAATGTTTTTGTATATTTAGTGTTCATTACCTTTAGGCCCTAAGTTTGGAACTATTATCTTTACCACAAATTTCAGAACACTTTGACTTATTCTCTTTTTCTTAATTCGTCCAGTATTAAATGGTATACATGAATACATTTAAAGAAAAACTAAAATATAAGGACAACAATTTTGTTAAATAGTGATATTTCAACTTAAGACAGTACTGATAGCCATATAGATCTATAGTTTCTTAATGTTAAAAGTTGCAAAAAATAGAATCTTTTAATATAGAAAAGATTTTTTAACATTCTTCTCCATTTAATATAATTCTAAATGTATAGAACTATTCATAGAGCAATTCAGTAAGAACTAAATGTTCTTATTCGTTATGTACATTAATTGCTATAGTCGAAATTCATGTAACTTAATTCATTCATATAATATCGTTAATAGCTTAACCTTTAATAGACAGCAGATTCGTCAGCGGATATAGCTAATTCTTCGTCGCTCCAATCGCTAACTCCAAATCCAGATGAGCCGTGGAAACTGCGCGATCTTGCAACATGACTAAAAACAAAGCAAATAATATTTTTCTTCAGCTAAGACTATGTAAAGAAAGAACCAGATACTAAACATTTTATGTTTCTCTATAAGTGATGATTATCTGTTAAATAACTATAATGAATATTTCAACGTGTTAGAGATCTGTACCTATAAAACATAACATTTTGTAAAAGCTGCAGTAATTTTGTTCATTAAAAATTTTTATGTAAGCAGCTTCATTCAACCAAGAGCAGCTTGGTTCTTTCTTGGATCATGCAAATAAAAGAAATCAATATATAAGGCTTAATAAATTAATCTAGCTGTGTATTGCATTAATAAGCCGAAATAAACTAGGCTGAAATTTCTGCCTTGCATACACATTATACGAACTTGTACGTATTAGTTTAATTTCTAACTATTTCAAATGACAAGTAACATGTTTAAAAAGAAATGAACGTTTTTGTAGCTGAGTTCACTAAAACGTAATCCATTTGACAAATGTACTATGAAGTCAAAAATGAATAGTATGGATTTTACATGTAACTTTTATATGATACAGTAAAAGCAATCATCACATAAAAAAAATCAAATCAAATGGTAATACATCCATAGTATTCATAGATTAATTGTGCATTGTAATAGGCAATGAATTAATGTGGAAATAAATTAAATAAAAAAGCAGCGTTATTGCAATACGATTTTCTCAAGAGGTCCTACAAAAATAGCAATAACATTGAAAAATTACATTTTTTTTAGTGTACCTCTTAACAAAATCTAAATCGCAAAGTCAAACAAGTCATTTTCGTACCACTTGCTTGTACCGATGGTCTCTTATCATTAGATTATCGATCGCTATCGGTCCTACCAACACAGTGAAATACTTTTTATATTAATGGGCCAACAAAATATGCTTTCATATAATTTCCTGTATTAATAGATATAAACAGCCGCTTACCTTGGAGAAAGATTTGCATTCGTAGTTTTTTTGGCTAAATCTGCTTTTCTTTTACCTTCCATTGCTGCTTTCATAGGATCATAACTTTTACGACGTTTCCAATTTTGCATTTCTACTTCTCTCGCATTGGGGGTTGCGGATTTCTTTGCTTCTTTTGGTTTCAATTTAGAGCCCTATAGTAACAATATCTGTTTAGGAATGTCCTTTACACAAACATGCGTATTCTGGATCGAAAGAAATACATACAATATTCGAAGTTTTATTTAATCGCATACTAAAGCGTCCAGAATCAGTTCTACTAATACTTGTAATAGATTCAGATTTTCCACGAGTATCGTGCGTGACTGATTTATTTTTATTTATGTTTGTTGGAAGTTTTGTTGGCTGTGAATCTAACCTTGCTCTGCGTAAACTATAAATAAATTTTTATAATATATATATTGACAACCGACAACGTCGGAAAATTTTTCTCAGAAGATGCAGCTTACAAGCCTAAACCAGTAATACCGATTAATTAAATATTGACAATTTTTACCTAAATGCTCTATTATATTTTGTATTTGAAATTGTCTTCTGTGTGGTATGGTGGCGATCGTCGCTGCTCTCTGTATCACTAGGCTGATGTAATGTTTTTGATGTATTCTTATGTAGACTATGACTAGTATCCTCATCGCTTTCGTTGTCTGAATCCACCAAAGGTGAACGACAAACTGTAATACGAGCTGACATAGCTGATACAACATTTTTTGTTGTTTGTAAGTAATACGATGTTTCCAGATCGCTATCGCTTTCCTGTTCATTCAAAATTCAATAACATTTATTTACGGCAAAGACATGCCATTTTTTTTTAGAAAAAATATATGCCTATATTTACCAATTGTGGACTACACGGTGGAGGTACTTGATTGTCATTCCGAGTAAAATTTAATTCGTTGTCCGACCATTCATTAGCCAATGAAAGAGCCCCTCCAGTTCCATGGAAACTTGCCGATCGTAATACAGAATTATCGTGACTAAAAAATGATTACTCGTTTCAACGGTTCTAATCGTGTATGCTGAATAGTTTCAATCATTTTATGACCGTGTACTCACTTTCCTGTACTATCTTCTGTGCTGTGATGTTTTTTCGAATTATCTATTAATTTTTTTCTCCCTTCAGCGGCTGCTTTCATCGGATCGTAACTTTTCCTCCTTTTCCAATTTTGAAATTCCACCTCCTTTGACGTTAATGTTGAATTACTTCTACCAGACTTCTGATCTTTATTCACTTTCTGATTAGGTCGCTGTATATTAGAAATATTCTAAAAAAAATAGTTCAAAATCAGTGAAAATAAATTAAAGTATAATATATAAATACGAATATAAAGTATACTTACATGAGATGATTTTGGTACTCTTATACTAAGTCTGGTACTATCGGTTCTTGATATAGATACTGCTCTAGGTTTTATAGGTTCTGATTTTTTTAAAGGTTCTTTGAAATGTGCACTCACATTGCTTGCACGACTTCGATGATAATTCTGTTGCTTGTTCGCGGGTGTTGCTGACTTTACTTCGCTTTGTGCTCGTTTGCGTTTCTCTTCGGGTGTTGTATTTGGAGTTGTGTCAGATTCACAATTTAATCTGTATAATATAAAAGTTTAAATGCATTATGTCGATATTTCACCAGGTTACTTATGTTACATTTATTTTTTAAATTAGAACATACCTAGCTCTTCTTATGCTAAAAGCTCGATTTAATTTAATTCCAGACGATATTGAAGCTAATGAAGGTTTTACTTGTTGTTCACCAGTTTCACTGCTGCTGTCAGAAGCAGCGACACACCTTCCTCCTGAAGACGTTCTGTCGATGTCACTACTATTAAAGCTACTGCGACGAGATAAATGGCTTTGCGACTTTATATTTCTGATATTCGCATTGCTGCACGATCTTTGGATATTTAGATTACGTTGAAGATTTGGACTATTTTGCAGTACACTGTTCGTTTTTGTCGCTGTTTCCTGATTGCTAAAGCCGACACTTCCTTCGTGGTAACTTGCGGTACTGTTAGATTTTCTTAACATGTATGGGCTTCAAAGGGTGAAATTTTTAGTATTGCATTCCTAAAGCAGCTTTAGATTTTATTTAATACGCTCACCTGTTTTCGACGCAAGTGAAGTATCCAATGTTTTTAGCTTCTGTAGATGATTTCGCCAAATGCTTGGTTTTTTCTAACACTAGCGAATTAACAATTTTTGTAACCGTCTTACGGGTTACGATCGGACTGTTAGTTAATTTTGGAGTAGAAGGTCTTAAGCGGCTCAAAACGGGGCTATTTGTATACGTAGTTTCGTCGTCTCGATAATACTTGGTACTACTTCTCCTGGACGTATTAGATTCAGTTGTATCAGATGTACATTCTCGCCTATGCCGTGAGGAACCAATATTTGGGAATAACTTATAACCAAAAAATACGAACTATATTTATGTACATAAAATTGCTTGTTTTACCTGTCCAAGGAACTACTTCGCCTTCCTAAATGAAGGGAAGCAAAATCTTTGGACGGACTACTTAATTCTGCACTTGCATCTTCAGTCTTAGATTTGTTTGAACTCAAATACTTGCGAATACTTCTCCTATTTTCACTGGTGTTAATTCTTCTAAAAAGAGATTCGGATAGACTTCCCCGCCTCGTCAAAGTTCCGTGCACGGGTGTCCGTTGGGAACTGTGCGGAGGCGTGTTATAACTATTACTGGTATCATCGTCCGATTCTCCACCCGAATCGATCAGTATTTGTTGGTTTGAAATTAAGCCTATTCTTTCTTTTATTCGCAAGTACGATTCCGCATCTAAGCTACTGTCGCTTTGTTCCTGGAAGTGCGTATTCTTATGTAAATATAATATATACATATATAATACCACACATAGGTTAATATATCGTACATTACGACTACGAGCCAGTCTTTGAGATCTAGTATGAATAGGAGACGGTATTTTGGAAGGACTTAACGGAGGAGTACGACCAGTTGGCCCGCCAATTGCTGGTGGAAGAGAATTGTGTTCTGCTACTTGAGTAGCCCATTCTGATATCCATGTATTGTTGTCTCTTGAAACACTCATCTACGAAATCAGTTATTTAAAGCGTTGATAACAACGAACATTTAACGTGCAATTAATTTACCTTAAAGCTATGAATACATGCATCCTTGCTTTCATTCTCAGTTAAGATACCAACGCTAAATACTTTGTCAATATCCATTCTTGCTTTCTCTTCGTCTGTGTAATCTTTGTATATCGTGTATGTTCCTGCTTCACTGACTGCACCATCCGATCCACCATCAACATTACTGACATTAAAAATATCTATATTTGTTTCAGCCTGTTCATCTGGATCCACATCCACTGTATAACTAACGCTAGATAAATTGTGTCCTTTTGCATTGATACTTCTATTCCTAGCATAATTGATGTTTGAGACTTTTTCAGAGATATTATCAGACGAATGATCATAATCGTCTTCTTGATCTATATTTTTTGTATATAATTTTTCCGCATCGTCGTCATAATTGTTTGTTTGAATTCGACTTAGATCATTTATGGTAGCAGATTTCTGAGGTACCCAATACGATGTTGTATTCACTTTCCCTGAATAACCAAGTTCCAAGGAAAGATTTTTTTGAGGGAGTTTACTTTGCTTTGACTGTTCAAAAGATCTAGTCATCAAGTCTTGTTTATTTTGAAAATTTGTCACTTTTGTGGGGGACTCTGTTTCTACTGCTGTGTGAGAAGGCTTCAAGAATGTTTTTGATCCTAAAAAAATAAAGAGTATATTATTACTAAAATTATAATATAAAATACAGCGATAAACCAGAGATTTAGAAATATGAAAGTAAAATATAGCATAGAAAATATATTGTTTCTATATTAGAGTCCTTAATATGATGGCTGCTTACATACTGTGAATATATTGAAGTTACCTGAGAAGAATATTAAAAAGGTGACTTCACCATGACTCATACTTTACAAATACAGTACTCCTTTATAGAGAATTTATTCTTCAAAAGGAATTGGTCTTCAATATTTATAAAAGTAATTAAGCATTATTTCAAGCAGTATACTTTCTATACTATAACATAGTATTATATATAAAGGTATAATATTTATGCTCTAATTCAATTTAATAAAATTACCTAGCTGTTTCAGTTTCTCTGATAATTGATCTGTCTTTCTTTTTGTATCATCTTCACTGCTAAAGTAACCTTCAGAATGTGTACTAGAAACTTTTTGTTTTTGCATTAAATTTGAAGAACATAAGGTGCCAGTTTTTTTCATATTTATTTCTACCTGAAAATTTAATCGTATTCTTTCAAATCACATCCATCATTGCAGCATGTGTCAAACTGTTTGAATAACACTTGAACATTCTTTATTAATTTTATACAATTGTATTTAAAACGGATAAAGGTGCCTACCTTAGATGTGGAAAGATTTCGTTTATGCCTTGCATTGTACCTTTCAAATAAATTCTGATATTTATTCGCGTCAATTTCCTTTTTCCCGAAATCAATTGTAAAAGCTAATGGAGCTTGTGATACACATCTATCAGTGGGGTTCTCTGATGTTACTTCTGATCTTTGGCTCTTATTATCATTCTTTAAAGTTTTCTTGTTTTGCGATAATTCTTTCCCTTTATTCTCGATACTTCCTTCCTGCTTTTCTTCTTTCGTTATCCGATTATCGTCTAAATCTTTCGCGTAAATCTCGGGATCCTCGAGCTGTGCGTATATAATAGTACGATCGCACTCCTCGCTATCGAACGTTTTATCTTCAAGGGACGTAAACGAATCCCCGAGATCTCGAGCGTTTTCGTTGTCTTTTTGAATAGCATCGTTAAATTCCATTGAATTGCTCGGCAAAAGTTGAGTGTCAACCACTTTGGAGGTGTTCTTTTCTACTTCCATATTCACAGCCATTGAATATTCTAATTTTAAACATCCGTAATTAGAATGTTCACGATCTCTACGCCACTACTATCTATTACAATTAATTCGTAAATGCCACTCCTATAATTACATTTCACTGCTTGATAGTAACGTCATATAAAATCCAATATAGTACAAAATTTCTCTGACACATCGACACAGGTGCGTCTATTGTACGCCATTGACGGCAAAAAGTGTCAACATTCATGATCGCCATTGCAAGGAAGAAAATGTCCCTAACTTGTAATGTTGCACCTGCAAAATTGATGCACGAGTTAAAATTACAATTCTTCGAGCGAACGAACAAAATCATATATTATTAGAAGGAATACCTTATTGTCGTGTGCATTAACGAGTAACATGTAACAATTGTATGCGATAAGGCATAGAGTTAATTGTTTCAACTTTGATACTAGGTTGAAGAAACAAGCGGGGTTCCGTTAGCCGTTACGCTATCATGTCGTCGTTGATGTTTAACGTCTTTGGTTCTACGCGGTCTTCCTAGTTTATTGTATCTTGCATGACGTTAGATTTGTCTTTGTTGGGAGGGCGTGCAATTTTCACGATCTCCGTGCGCAAATTTTCGTGACAATGCCAAAGAGAAAGAATCAGGCTCTTATAGACTCTGATAGTAGTGGCAGTGCGTCGGAAAGTGGCTCAGATTTGGATAATGTAAATTGATATAACCTTACATAAAAATCTCATGTTGCGTATCTTCTGTTTTATGTTTTTAATCAATTTGTTAACCTTCGAATGTTGAGCAATCCGATTTCTATAGTAACACTGTTTGCGTCGCATCAACTTCTGCACATTTAAATAATATCACAAGAAACTACGTACGAACGAAAATTATTTTACATAACCTGTTATACCGTTAAACGATACATGCTTAAATTTTTATACATAAAAAATGTTCACTTATATTCGAAGCGCAATAGACCGATCTTTGAATGAGAGAGACACTACACGTAAAATTTGTTTTTCTGATAGTTTTTATCTTGCATGTTTATATCAGAAATTCGCTCGGTGTATAGAAAAACATTTGATTTTTAATTAAACGTTTGTCCCGTGGATTAGGACTTATTGTCACTTGCTAAGAAGAAGAAAGGAAAAACTCAAGATGATTCTCAGTCTAACGAAGACACAGGAACCGCTAAAAAAGACAAACATGATTCAGATACATCAGATTCGGACGATGATTGGGGTGCAAAAGCTGGTAAAAGTAAGAAAAAAAAAGTGCCAACTAAACGAAATAAAAGAAAGATGACAAAGTCCAGTAGTGAAGAAAGTGCTAGCGAGAAGGAACCTGAAAAAATTTCTGAACCCGAAGAAGGTAAATATTTTTTTTTTAAAATACTTTAAAACTGCTTTATGATTCTTGTGAAATTAAACGATACTTTTACAATTTTAGGTGAGGTTTCAGACTCGGATGCTAGTGTTTCTGATTCCAGTCAAGAGGAATTTAATGACGGCTATGATGACAAGTTGATGGGTGATGCCGAAGACCAAGCAAGGCTTGCACAAATGACAGAAAAAGAAAGGGAACAGGAAATTTTTAAACGTATTGAACAACGCGAAATTATGAAAACGAGATTTGAAATTGAAAAAAAATTGAGAATGGCGAAGAAACAGGAATTAAAGAAGCAGAAAGAATCGCGGAAGAAAGAGAAGAATGCTGAAGAGAGAAAGGTTGATAGAGCACCGGATCCTAAAGAGAGAAGTAAAGATCGCAAGAAAACTATAGAAGAGAAGCAAGATAAAAAGTTCCATGCAATGTCTCTTCTCAAACAAAGAAGAGAAGAGAAGAAAGAAAGAGGTGAGGGGGTTAATAAATCGACAATCTTTATTTAACGATTATCGATTTTTATTAATATTTTCTTTCTGTTTTATCAGAGGAAAAGGAGAAACAAAGGATAGAACAACAGCAACAGCAATCAAAGGATATTGAAGAGGAAGAATTGGAAGATGATCACAAGGGAGGTGCAAATAAAACAAAGCTCAAGGCGTCTGATATTTATTCTGACGATAGCGGTTCGTCGGATAGCGGCGAAGACGAAGAAACTGCTAAGCCGTCGTCACATCGTAGATCGTCTTCGAGCGATAGTAGGGATTCCGATTCTGATACCGATAAAAAGTCAGTATCCGCCTCTCGAAGTACAAAATAAAGAAATAACAATAAAATAACAAATATTTTGTTTTCAGATCTGTTACTAGTACTAAGGCCAAACCGAAGAAACCGATATACGTCGGTACCAAGGAAGATCTCAATAAAATTAGATTATCTCGTCATAAAATGGAGAGATTTGTACATTTACCTTTCTTCGATAGAGTAGTACAAGGTTGTTTTGTTAGAATTGGTATTGGGAATAACAATGGGAAACCTGTCTATAGAGTAGCTGAAATTAGTGGTGTTTGCGAAACGGGAAAAATTTACCAACTTGGTGGTACAAGAACAAATAAAGGATTAAAACTAAGGCACGGAATTCAGGAACGTGTGTTCAGATTAGAATTTGTATCAAATCAAGAGTTTACTGACTCTGAATTTTTCAAATGGAAAGAAACTTGTGCTTTGCAAGGGATATCCATGCCTACGTTTGAAGAAGTTGAACAGAAACTGAAAGATATTAAAGAAGCTTTGGTATATGAATTCAAAGAAGAAGATATAGAGAAAATAGTACGAGAAAAAGAAAGATTTAAACAAAATCCATACAATTACGCGATGAAAAAGGCACAGCTTATGCGTGAAAGGGACGCAGCTAATTGTAGGGGTGACGACGAAACTGCTTCGCGGCTTAATCTAGAATTGGGCGAGCTCGAAGAGCGTGCTTCTGAACTTGATAAAATGCGTACTGCAACAATATCTAGTATATCTTATATTAATGACCGTAACAGAAAGAAGAACGTTGAAGAAGCTGAGAAAGCTATTATGGTAATTTAATAATATCTTGTACAAGATGTTATAGAATTATTGAAGTTTAAATTTTACATGATAATCTAATATATATATTTTTCATACCATAGGAAGAGATTAAAGCTAATAAAGGTAAAAAGGTCGATGACCCATTTACCAGACGAAGTACAAAACCAAGAATGGTTTATAAGCCAGATGATGAAGAGGTATCATCTACTGTTCCAGTAAATGATAAATCAGCTCTTCAACAAACTGAAACAGTAACAGTAAATAGTGAGAAAGAAAATGGACAAGAAACAAAGAAAAAACAAAGTACCGAAGATCTATTTAATGCTCATGATTTTGACATTACAATAGATTTGGAAGTACCGATTCCAAGTAAGTTTCGTATAAAAATTAACAATTTTCCCAGATACGTATTCCAAATAGAACTTTTGCTTTAAGAATATTTTACATCAATGTGTATACGACATCTTTATTTCCTGTTTTTTTTTTTTTAGATAATCCTGTTAGTGTATTACCGAAGCCTATTAGTAATATTAAAGATACAGGACCTCGGCGATCTCTGAACTTAGAAGATTATAAGAAAAAACGGGGACTCATCTAACGTTCTGTTAGGTTTAGAAATCAGAAAACTATTTCAAGGCTAAGTTGTAAACATTATCGTGTAGTTATCCAAACGTGCATACCTTAGTCTTTGATTGATCTGTTTAATTGTAAAAACAAGAACAAAATCTTGTAACAGTTGACTGAGAAACTAGCTTGTGTATAGTTCTCATATAACATTAATACTTCTGTTATAAGTAATAATTCCTTTGTTTAGAAAGGATAATAGGTGGTTCCTACCATATAGTTATATTTGCAAGATCATAGTTAGTGCATTCTATTTGAAGGGATGCAATTTCAATGTTGTTAAAACATTTTTATTTTTTGAAGAATACTGTTAAGGAGTACTTAAAAAAAGTATTACGATTTGAATTATTTAAGAACTATGTAATTGCATTTGTTTTCCTCTTTCAGTATATGACTTTTCTATCTTTTATCGGGAGTGTAGATTATTAATTTTTCATTTTTCATGATAAAAGCAATAAATTAGAAATGAAAAACTATTTATTTCTTGATAGAAACGAGTATTGAACTGACAACAGAAATCGGTATTAATTTCGAATATATTAATCATGATTTAAATTTATTAATATGCGACACTTTTTTTATGTTATGTATGACAAAATAAACAAACTATACAATAGCTAATTGCTTGGTATCAGATACATCATAAGGTAACCATATTTCTCAATATTTTTGTATAATTCTGTAGCATCTTACAAGTATTATATACTCTGCAAATTACTGCCAATATGATTTGGCCACAGACGCTTCAAAATATGTTTTACAACAAAAATTTGTACATATTCTCTAAACAGTTCAAATAATTTAAATGGCTAAATTTTTAGATATATATACAAATATATATATATATATATTTGCTATATAAAAGGACAAAAACATGTTTTTAGATGTATACTTTTTGTTTGTCTAGTTAATTCAATAATTATTATTAAATTGGATAGATTAAATAATTACACTATAATAATGATTTTTATTAATATCTATAGAAATATAGATACGTTTTCGTGTATTCTATCTCTCCACTGGATTGTTCTTTTTACTATATAAACATGAATATGATATCTTGAATAAATAAAGTTTTGTAATTTTCATTAAAAAGTAGACATTTTTTTATACTTGCATACAATTAATTTAGATACCACCAGGATAGCTGAGAAAAACATACGTACATATTTATTCAAAAATATCTAATTTCAACCTAAAATTTAATTTATTCAAGATGTCAGAAGCTTATTTGGTACAATGATTCGCAAATATAATAAATGCTTTTACATATATTAATATAAAATGCTAATTAGAATGTATTATCAAAATGCAGCATGTGTTTGCCATAATTCGTAAATTTGCCAAAATTGTACATACATGTATCTAAACAGTATATCATTAAAAAAAACTGTAGAGGAATTCATATTTTTATTTAGGATGACGAGAATCTTACATTTTACATTTTTAAGATTGCTGTAAAGGCAGTATGAATTTTAGAAGACTTATTTTCCAAGCTTACAAAAGATGCTTTAGAAGTTAAGGCTAAGATACATGTCATTTATAATACTCAGTTTTTATATGAAACAATATATATTATAAAATAAATTGTCTTTTAAATCTTTAATGTAAGATTGGTTTATTTGAGTTAACTAGCATCTGTTACTATGGTTTACATTACATCAGTCACAGCATATTTCGTTTCAGTATTTCTTAATCATCCAGTTTCTACACTTACAGATCATAACTTCGTTCCCTATTTTAGTTAATCTGTATATTGTCTATAATATAAGACTACGAATTTTATTTTAGAAATATGTAAGGAAGGGACTAACTGTATTTAAAAGAAAAAAAAAAATCTTTAAATGTATTAAATATACGTTTAAGATGTATAATTGGTAGCAGTATTAAAATAATATTCTACTTGTATTTAATAATTTTTTAACTACATACTTTACTGCATCTTGTATATCGTATAAAAAAAATATTTAAATATACTAATTATGCGTTTAAGATGTACAATTGGTAGCTGTATTACGATAGTCTACTCGTATTCCATAATTCTTCGATTACATATTTTGCTGCATCTTGTACTTCACACATATAAAAATTGTGTTTAATCATATTTTGTCATATCTAAGGTGAAATATATTTATGTGAATATTTTAACGTGATTTATTTTTGGGTGTCAAGAGTGTTCATAATGTTCGTCTTGTGTAAAAATGAGGCATCGAAGTAACATCGATCGTAAACCGTGTTTGAAACCGTTGGTGCCAAATTTAATTCTGTTATTAATTAAAACAGTGAACGCGATAAACTCATGATATATTTAAGATAGAAATTATTAATGATATACGTACGTAAAAGTCTATATGTTGAAATACGTTAAGTTTATCGATAGAGCGTACTTGCGATTGCCGCCGTTTCGATATTGTGCTGTCGCGTTTCGGCGTGTTTTAAAACTGTCATCTATGTTTCGCGTCGTGCGCACGCAAACTATGCGGCATGCGCACAGAACGACGCGCGACGTCTGTATGCGGTCGCTTGCATGCCGCTGCCCATATAAGGTAATTTCCCCACGTCCCTCGCGATGATTGGCCAGTATGACCGGCAGGTCGCATCGATGATTAATTCCCGCAAATTACGTGTCATTGTCACTCGAATCGGTCCCACGACGATTCTATCATCTATATCAAGGATTTTAGGAATCGATCTTATTTTTAAGGTAATCTACAAAAGAGCCGTATTCCGGTCGAAATAAAAGCTGCACAAGCGACCGGCAGGACCGCATTGCACGACGCTTGCGCACTGAAGTAATCCTACCGGCTCAGAAAAAAAATTCGCGCTCGAACATACTCAAACCGTTGGTTTCTCGCGAAAAGAATACCAGGATCGGAATACGCGACTCATTAATAACATTTCCCGTGCGAATTATACGTAAATTCAATTACGAATTTTCGTTAGTCAGATATCGGCCAATCAAGAAAGAGTTAATCAGAAGTGCGCGCGCGCAGGCGTAGGGATACAGGATTCGCAGAAAGCTAGCTGCGAGAGGAGCCTCCCTTCCCGTTCGTTCGTTCGTGAGCCGCGACCCCCGCGACTGGACACTGCACCTATCCAGTTCTACCAGAACCGAGGCTCTCGTGAAAGTGTAGGTTAAAGTGCTTGTTTACGTGATTCTTCTCATCGGCTACGACATCACGAAATGGTAAATATCATACTGTGCATGCATCCATCTTCGAAAAAATGTCAACGATCCTTCGGGAACCGGTACGGGATGGGTTACTTTGTGGTTATGGCCGAAGCAGACGCGCCGGTCGCCATTTCTGTCCCGGCAATACGCCGCGATAGTGACCGCTTTCTTCTTTCTGCCACACCGATCGACTGATTTCGTTCTTGCTAGCTGTTCGTTCGGAATCCCCTGTGCTATTGATTTTCACGTCTTTTCACGAGGAATGATGGGAAATTCAAAACTTCGCTGACGTAGATGCATTTTTACGTGCCAATCGCGATTCCTTGCTTCCAGGAAACGGATGATTCATTTCCAGCTTCGCGATAGGACAGTCAGAGACTCGAAGAGAGCAACTGCGATCGGTGACGGGAGAAAAATTCTACATCGTCGAAGAGTAGAAACTCGCTGTTGTGTTGTAACGTATCGAGTCGCATGGTAAATTCTTCGTCTTCTCGGTGAATTCGTCCAATTATCGCGGTATTTAATTACAAAGATCGGAGAAGTTCTCGAGAACAATGTTTTTCTATCAATTCTGATACTCTTGATGATTAATCTTTGCATTTCCTTGCACCACATGTTTTAGTTCGGTATAAACCATTCGAAGCGATCGAACGTTGCGATTACTTTTGTAAGAGTGAACATAAGTACGGCGAATTTTTTTTCACAGTTTAGTTTTGGCGAGTGTGTTGAAAACACCTATTTCCTTTTGCCCTCTATATTCGAGGACAATATCGTTTGATACTGTAAAGAACATTTTAAGCCTGTTATGTCGTATAAATTTCGCCACCGGTTCGAACATTTCTCGAATTTCCGTCGTAATTGCCAAAAATTTATGTAACGAACGTATGTTATGCCAGATTGAAATTTCCTTCCAAATCTTCGTGTCAAATGTCGAAATAATTGAACTTTATTATCGATACATTTCAATTCATTTAATTGTTCGACTTTCTCTCGTTGTGTATTTTGTTCTTTTTGTTAATACACAGTCGCAAAATTGTCATGCGTGCTTGTATAAATGTGAAATAAACTCGTACGAACGAAGAGTGCAATCCGTAATTTATTTAAAGTTATATATCTATCGCAACGCGGAATCGTTTCGGTCTGCCATACGCGTTTATCAGTGTTATCTGTTAGCTGCAATTATCTTCAATATAGAGAAGTTGTTGTTTGAACAGTACTCTTTAATTATCATTACATTTAAAATCGAATTTCGTAAGTTACAATTTTCCCTGCAATTGTAATTGGCGATCAACGATTTAATATTTCCAAGTTTTTTCTTCCAACACGCGACGCTTCTATCGAAGTTCCGGAAGAATTAATTTAGTCGCGTTCCATTTCCGACAAATTGGCGACAGAAAATTAACCAAGTGAAACTGGCACAAGTAATTACCGCCGTACACCGAATACATTATAAATATTTATGTTAGCCATCGATAGATATTGTATCCTTGGTAATGAAGAGCTGGGTTTTCTTGCGAAACTAACCCCTCTCCCCCTCTATGTCTCTAGCCTCGAGGATGACAGTGAACTACAACAGAAGTTCTGGTAGAGAGGGAAAAATTCAATGAGCCCGTAAGGAGGTCGGTTCTTGCAGGCCAGTGACTCTCAAAGTTCACTGACGTCTTCGTAAACGTGGTGAATAAGCTGATTATCTTCGACATTGCTACGGTCGTTCGCTGTTGATTATTCATACAATCATACATCTTTTCTTCTTTCATATTATCGATCGAAAATATCGATTCCTAACCCTATTTTACTTAATTCTTCGTATATAAATATTCATGACAAGTGTTTAAAATCATTATGATGCAATATCGAAGAGAATGTTCAAATGTCTGTTCCTATTAACCAAGGACGTCGAAAGATAAATCACGAAACTCTGTGTGTATTGATTATCGTTGAATTCTAGGTACATTCTAGTAAACGCGACTATCTTCAAAAATTGTTTCGTTCTTTATATAGGCAGAGATTGTACATCTATCGATATCATTTAATCGAGAAATGATCTATAAAACGGTTCGTGACCATACGATCGGTTTACTTATCAGTCAACAATCGACCATATCGCTGCTCATCGGTGAATCATCTTCCGTTTGACCTTGTGCCACACAAGAGTCGTTTACAACAACGCCCTAGAGGGAGCCAAGTCTGGCCCTAACCGGCATCCCCTGTCGTGCCAGAATATCGACCGAGGAATTGCATCCTCCATCTACTGGCTATCCTCCAACCACGTTACACTTTTCATCGGACCCTTTTGCACCCCAATCGACCCTTACGTTCATTCTGCTACGGTAGACAAAGCATCAACCGTTTGTTGTATTACATTCCCAGTGAAGTACAATTACCAATCGGTAGAAATAAATTAATCGAACAACTGCGCTATTAATTGCTTTCGCCTTATTTGTACAGTAGCCCGTTTTAACAATCGAAGTAGCAATTTATACACATCTGCCTTAACCAAAATCGATAATGCTCCCGTATCGTGCACTTCGTTCCAGTTTTCTAAATGCATTCGTTCCAACCGATAAAGAGTTTTTAGAATACTCGAAGGTGCATCCCGTTTGGCAAATGATCCGCTTTTCCTTTAAATATCGAATTACGTTTCGCTCGACTAATTTTAGAAATTTTGCAATTCCTTGTTTACAGCTGCGAATCCGTTTGTTTTGTCACGGACATTTCCCGTCTACCGTTCGTTGATACTCGAGCATTATTTTTTACAAACCCGAAACCGTTGATCCTAGACGAAAGCTGTACAAAAATAACTATCCCACTTCGAACTTTTCACACTGCGTGTCGTTACTACCCTCCCCACTCCTTGTCTCTCTGTCTTTCTCTGTGCCCCGCCCTCTCTCTTCCCAAAAATCTTTGCGTCGCGCTCGTCGTGTGTCACGGTCGTATTTCACAAATTTCCACAGAGTGGAAGGAACACGTAGTCGAACGGAGCACCGTACCGTGTGGGCACGTGCCCGCGCGCAAGGGATAACTTTAGAAATGGACGTCGGATCTCCTTTAGCATAGGATTCATGCGTGGGAAGAATTTATTTCGGTACGTCCCCCACGTTTGCCCGCGAAATAAGCTTAAACGGCCAGACTAACCGACGCATAATACTGATGATAGCGCCGATACTGGCACGAGCTCCTCGTCAGTCAACGACTGCCATATATTATTGCTGTGCAGAAAGATGTCCGTCGCCCTCGTAAATCTTAGCTCGCACGGTACTAAAACAGGGATCACTTATCGATGTCCAATGGGCGGGGGGGTTAGAGGGTACGGGTTACCGACGTTCGTCCCCATCGCGAATACACTCGTAATTCAATGCGTTAATTAGAATTATGTGCGATTTCACGTTTATCGAACAAAAGGGGTTTTCTTAAACTTTGATGCGTAATTGAATGTTGCGCGTGTGAACAGGAGACGTAGACGTATCTTCGTATTTGCGCGATAGAGAGACGTTTTATAAATAGTATATGGACAGTTACAAGTTTCTTGTCGGCGATATCGGTTTCAACAGGTGCGACTAAGTTTTATAAACTACGTATTTTCATCGAACGATTATGCAACGCGCGCTGCGACTTCGGTGTTACGCTAGATTTGTCGTTACCCGGATTGACATCGATTACACGTTACTCGAAACGTTAACATTTTTTATTTCACCTTCTTCCTGGCGAAGTCGATCGATTTAAACCGTTTCTTTCTTGTATTTTGTTTAGGCATCTGGAGTAACAGTGGCTGACGTTTGTAAGACAACGTACGAGGAGATTAAAAAAGACAAAAAGCATCGATATGTAATCTTCTACATTAAGGACGAGAAGCAAATTGACGTTGAAGTAATCGGACCTCGCGATACGGCTTACGACGCCTTCCTGGAAGATTTGCAAAAAGGTGGTGCCGGAGAATGTCGCTATGGCCTCTTCGATTTTGAATACACTCATCAATGTCAGGGTACTTCCGAGGTAATCCATGCACCGTTTCAGCGATGAAATCTGAAAGACACGTTATTCGCATACATGGATATTTATATAAACGTTTGTTGTCGATTTTTAGGCTTCCAAGAAACAGAAGTTGTTCTTGATGTCGTGGTGTCCTGACACGGCTAAAGTTAAGAAGAAGATGTTGTACTCCAGTTCTTTCGATGCTTTGAAAAAGTCCTTAGTTGGTGTGCAAAAGTATGTACAGGCAACAGACCTTTCAGAGGCTTCCGAGGAAGCTGTTGAAGAGAAGCTCCGAGCCACTGACAGGAATTAGGAGTATTTCAGCAAATCCAAAATTATTAATATTAACGAGAGAAATCAAGTGAAAAACCATACGCAAATTCCCTTCCCCAAAATAATGCTCTATACCGTCGTCGCATCGAAGGTTCATGTTTTTACACATTTTTCACTTTTAAATGGAAACGATTACCAAGTATTTGCGCTACATGTATTAGTCATTGGGGAGCGTAAACATTAGCAGAAATGAACGTAAAAGAAGCAAAAAGTATATAAAGAAAAATCACTTTTCATACTGCGAACGTTGTGTGAATCTGTCTGATATAATATTAATATTATACTATTATTATAATTATAAGATACTTGTAAAAGAATAACAGTTTACAACCAGTCAGGCAGTAAGAATGAAAGCATTACACTTTTGTCATCGGCTGTATAATGTTTAAATTAAATTCATTTCATAATGATTTTTCGTAAGATCCCGTTAGTAAGTCCCACATATTCCTGACATCGTGAGAAATTCAATTGTTTAATTTGTTCTAAAAACAACACGATTAGCAATATCGTTTGTATATGATACGTTAATTGATCGTTTTATATTAAATAAATTTTGTTTCAACTTTCTATAATTTCCTTCATACTGAATTTTAGGTATAAAAGATCTTGCATTTAAAATGTAGATGAATCAATTTTGACCGGACATGTTCTGGTTTGCAATATTCTGTTTAAATAATTTTTAACATGTGTACGAGTACAACCGATGAAAAATATTCCAATACTTTTTGCATCTGTTTTTTTTTTTGTTAAGAAAAAGCTAGAAATTTTTATGTTGAAAGCTTACTTGGTCTACTTATTAGAATTACGAGGTATAAAAAAAGAAGGTTATGAGACTATTTTCTATTTCGACGTAAAGTTCTACATTATCGATTACAACCGGAAGAAGACGTTACTGCAATTGGCGGCAAAAGTAATAACTATCGGCTTTGATTTTTTAACGAGTTATGTATTCCCAGAATTTATAATAAGTTCGAGGCTGATTAGCTCGGTGTTATTCGTGACGAAGGACTTTTCAGTCAAATTACATATATTAGATATTACCTAGTTGTGATAATTCTTGCTTTCCGGAAGTGCCATGTCTACTACGCGAGTCAAAAAAAGCGGGAGGAAGTACCTCCTACCATTCGACGCGTCCTCTATGCTCACAGAGGTAGCTCGGTCGAATGGTTGATTGATTATTTGTCACCTGTGGTCGTGTGTTGGACCAAATATTCGCATATCTATTAGTAGATACATATTAGATTTTAAAAGGAAATTCTCTGAGTTCAAGTAGGATCAAATTTATGAAGCCCCTGTCTCAAGATCCCTCTCTTTACCAGACATCCCGTGTCCAGGTCCTTGGGCTCTCAACAACAATGCTTGGTGAAATGAGGAACCAGTTTCAAAGGTACGAATTCATATTTCTATAGAATCGACTTTGATTCCTTCTATTTCCTAAATTTCCTAAATCCAGATCATGGGAATATAAAAGAGAGATGGAACTTGGACTCGTGTTATCCACGATGAAAAGTCTTTCGTGGATAACACCGAGCTAATGTAACCCTGTACATTATGGGAAGAAAAAGTTTTCTACATTTGTTAATTTTATGGATTTTAGTAGTTCAATTGGCTATAAGAGGAAGAGGTCGCTCGAGAACCACTGGTTGATAAAAACGTAAATTATGGGATAGATGGCGCCACATACATGTTATAATTACATTTTTTAAAGTCAGCCTGGAATCACGAATCAATTCTTTTGAAAATATATATATATATATGATAATTAAATCTTGAAGATGTGGGCGAACAAACGTTGAATTTTGTCCTTTCGATCGAAAAGTATTATCTCGCGAGACCTAGCCTGAAAAAAGAAAAAAGTTCAATCGAATTCATTTTGCATTTCTGCAAGTCGAACATTAGCGTAGTCCAGGGGTAAGCTTCGTAGCTTACACCTACTATAATATACATGAACGTTGAGAAACTCCTTGGAAACACAATACAGCGCGTAGGTGGGCACAAAGCAGCCATAAAGGGCTTCGAGCTTCAACTGTGGACATAACTGACCTACAGTGTGCTCGTGGTTTTCATTGCATTCTCGACTCTTTGTTTACGTACACTTGACTTGTTCGTACACCATCTCGGAAGTTTATCGTTTAAAACCGGATGAAACCCGTACAGACCGAATCAACTTGAACAAAATGTATTTGCTTTGGACTCGCGAATATGCCATGACTCGAAATCGACAACAAGATATAGGTTAGAAATCGATGGCGCAACTTGTTTCGAGCGAAGCATCTTGAAGGTTAGGAAAGTGTGATGTGGAATAGGAATGATTAAATAAAAATTTGCGATCTATGAATAGCGATAGGACCAATTCAATGGTACTCGTATCAATGATCCAGGTAATAATAGGTATCTAAGTTAGTTATTGGTAGTAGTAAGGTTTGTCGACGGTTCTTGTAGTATCGATACAATTTAAACCACAAACAAATCTAGTATCACAGTTTGATATTATTATAATACGTTCATGAGACAATGAATGTGGATCCAAACAAAATTACACGATCGAGTACATACAAATACAATTGAATTTATATAAGTTACTTACCAATGAGCTATTTTACAATTCTATATGCGCTATGCTAATGTCCCTACATTTTCGTATCAATCTTTTCTTCTAGATATAAGATGCAGTTATTGAACTCATTTCTATGTATCGATACTAAAAGTTATTCGTAAGCAAGTATCAAATTTGATCTAATTGATACGACAGCCGTACGCAAGATCGGATTAAGGGATTCGTGGCCCAGGGTTGCAACCCCCCTAGCTTCCTCTTTAATCCGTGTCTCGTCATACGTCTCGATGAGTCTCGAATCGCTTCTAATCATTTTTATATGCATATCGATCACTAGCTACGAATAGTCGTTAATCCTCGAACGGCGGACTCCGGGTCCATTTTGTTCTCAAATCGGAATATCGTTACGTCGCGTTCACGAATTGAATCTCTTTCGTGTGGTGTTCGTAAATCTTTTATTTATCGTATATTTTTACAAATCCATTTAGTATTATTCTTATTCGTTAAAAACCGGAACCTCGCGACTCTGAGTAAACAATTTGCGTGGGTCGCAAGTGAACCACGGAGTTCGCCGGGCGAGGGTTGAAAAGAACACGTTTCGATAATAATTAGTACGATCCGTACGATTCTGACGATCGTGACAAAGAAAATGGTGAAGGTAGAAGCGCGCGAGCAAGCGAGCGGTCGATTACCATATCGGCCACGAATCGATGGGTTACCGTTCGATGGATCGAACGACGGATTGACGTTCGAGAAAGTGGACTGGTTCGATCAACGTTTCGAAGCGATTAAAAAATATGCCGTGACACCGGTCTGGGCCCAGGGCTCCCTTACTCGCTCGCGCTTAGTGTTGTTTCATTTTTCGTTTTTTTTTATTTCGATACGATCAACAGCGAAACCACTTAAATCTGTATAATATATTTATACTTAATAGTTAATCCTTAGCGATCAATTTACAATCAAGTTAATTCGATTAATCGACGAAATGTTCAATTAGTTCGTAGCGATGGCTGGTTCCGTTCGACGCGGCATGCGTTCGTTTCCGTTTCCCCTTGCTTCTGATTCTTGCTTCTCTGATTTCGTTTCGTTTTGCTCGTCTCGCATTTCATTATCGATGAAAACGATTAACACCGACAGACACTTATGCTATAACTGCTCCATCATTGAATCGGAATGGATTCTTGAAAAACATCTACTATAGTAATTGTCGATCGTACGAGCCATTGTGTCCTTGAGGCCGATAGAGAACAAAAGAAACATTCATTATATAGACATCAGTTATTATATCAACGATTCTCTCATCTATACCCTGTGCATCATTTTAAATGTTTTCAACACATTCTATGTGATTACTCGAGATAAATGTTTCTCGCTTATCGTAGATAGTCAATATATAATATATTTATACTTTATGTATATCTTGTAAATGCACGCGGGCGTGCGCGCGCGCGCGCAGGCGCGCGTCCAATTGAAACGCGCGCGCGAACGCGGCCGTGCATTTATTTTATTTATATATATATCAATCATGCCGGATGCATAATTTTACAGCGTCGTACAGCGACAAAGGAGGATGTCGATTCATGCCGTGCATCTTTGTTCATCGAAACACTATATTTTTTTTTTTTCGTTTTTTCATTTTTTTTTCATCTTTTTTTGTTTTTCGTTCCCGCGTCGATCGCGTGTAATCGATACGCGAGACAATTCGGATCCTCGATTGTTCGAAACGCGCGGCAATGAAATATAATCAACGAGACAACATAACGCGATAACTATAAAAATCACGGTAACGTATGAACATTTTCACAGCGACGTCGTGCAGCCGACGATCATTAACCGATTAAACAAATTGCAACGAGAACGGCTTTCAATATGGCTGTAGCGGGTGCGAGGTTACGATCACGTCGGACGCCTAATTCTCTCTGCACGTTTAACGTTTACACGCCGCGCGGACGAAGAGGGCGTCCCCCGGCGATCGGTCTTAAATTATTTATCCCGTGCATTGTCCTTAACGACGCGTTTTTTTTTTTTACGATATAATAACTATTAAATATGCGGCTCCGTTAGAAAAAAGCTTACAAACCTCAAAAGCGAGAAGCTTAACGGTGGCGTGGCTCAGTCTGTACATGGAAACACTCTGCGCGAACGTCGTCGTACGCGACCATTTTCTCTATTCATACAGGGACCGTGTGGCGCGACGATTTATCGAACTTTTTAAACGATAAACGAATAATAACGAAACAACGTACTTAAAACGATCCTAATCACAGAGTTTAAATTCGATAACACGATTAAATTTAAAACATCGAAGGGGGGGTACCATAATTTTCTGTACACGGTATGCTCCATTTTTCGGTTCAATTTTACGATATAGCAGTTTCTACTTTGCATTTCAACCTGTCGTTTGTTCACTCGCGACCTTGCAAGATTTTCAATCACCGTTTCGTGCAAAATTATAATACGAATAATCGTTACGTCCATGGTCCCCGTAACCGGGGGTGGGCCACGGACGCGACGATTCGCTTTACGATGAGTCGTACGTCGACTCGCAATAATAGAAGTATGACAGCGGCGCACGACAGGTTGTGCAACGATCCCACATTAACGCGACGCGTCGTTTGACAATTATCGTTGAAACGGTCGCGTCGGTTGTGGTCGTAGAAATTATTGTACGAGGAATCGTCGGGTTTCTGGTCCCTGGAAACAGTCGACTCGGTACGGACCGCGGAACAGAGACGATTCGTCGATCGTTTAACGGTTCGGTCGCTCGTGGGCTCGGTAGAAAATGAGAAACGGGACTAGGAGATTCAGATTGTGTGTGTGTGTGTTTTTTTTTTGTTCATTCTAACCCCGGTGGAAACGATAGAACGCAAATATGTCGATTTAGCGTGAAACGATTCTGCGCGAACGAGGAATTACAATTAAAAAGTTGCTCGTTTACCCGTAATTTTGTCTGCGGTCCGCTCAACGTACGCTCGCCCCGTAATTCGATGTTTGTCGCAGTTGGTCGTGTTTTTTTTTTTTTTTTTTTCATTTTCTTTTTCTTCGCGTCGTCGTTCCCAAAATCATCCGCACGCAAAATTACCCGGCTTATCGCGTTAAACGGTGCCTACGATTCAACGAATCGAATTGACTAGATTCGCATTAAACATGTACAGCTTGCGATCAACCGTGTGTGTACACGCGCATCCGCGTTATTGCTTTGATGTAATAATATATTTTCTGTAACGTATGTGTACGCAAATACGACGCATCGGTTTCTATCTACGAAAATTGCATTTGTTTACTCCCAGGAACTAAAAATATTTCCAAATCACTCGGAATGACTTCGAAAGGTGTCTCAACCCCCCCGCTGATAAATTCTCGCAAAAATTACGTTTTTTTTTTTTCCCCCCTCCCCGCGACGACCGTACGATTACGGTACTCGGGTCGATGTTACGAAATTACAATTACGTACGAGCGCCGGGGTTCAGGCGCCCGCCCGTGCACCTGTATGTTCCATTAATTCGGATATATTTTGTCCGTTGGCTTGTAAAAAAATGCTCGAAACAACGGCCGAATGCTACTGTTCGTTTAACTGTATATCCCCAATAGCAATCTCGCTCGTGAATATCAGCTACAGGCTAATAACGGTTTACGCGACGAGTCGCGTTGAAAAACTAACGAAATAATTTCTCCCATACAACAACAGAACAAAAGTAGAGAAGAAAAAATAACAATCGATATATGCGCGCCGGTCGGCGCGCAGAAACTTTTTGGAATTCCAACAAGTTACGTTCGACGAAATATAACAGCGGTACCTCGATAACGGCCCGTTGACGTGACAAGAGATTGCACTTACTCGACCAGTCAAGCGAAACGATCCGAGTATCTTTCAACAATAACGAAAGGATAACGGTAACGCTGCAAACCGCCGGAAACGAAAAGAAAAGTATCAAGAAGGAAACGAAACATTTACGCCGTCTTTAGTAATGGGACCAATCCAATGACATTTACTTGGTCGCTCGAACTCTGGTATCAAACTAACTTGCCATTGGAATTAGTAAGGTTATTAACATTTCTTGCAGTATCGATACGCTTTCGTAACATCAAGTCTCGTTCGAACCATTCAACAAGAATTCAGAGTCGTGACAATAGATTCTTTTAATCAAAATCACATATTTAGCAGTAGTTTAAAGTCGAAAATATTCACATAACAAACACGTATACGTACGCGATTAATTTGATCATTCGAAATTAGCGTTCTAATTGTATCGCGAATTCTTTGTTCCGATCGAAGCTCGCGAAACAGCGAACGAAGTTGTTTTCTCGAATAATTACAACGGAATTGAACGCGAAACGCAAATGGAAATGTACCATAGTAATTAATTTTCAAAAGTATCGAATTATTTTTGTTTGCGTATCATTATTTCAGTACAATTATTATCGCCGCGTTTGATACATTTGCTTCTTTCTCGCAAATTTCAACGATCCAGCGCGTCCAATTATATGGAAAAACCATCAGATTTTAAAGATACTAATTATATTTAACGTCCGTACCAATTATCAGAAGCATCGAATCTGTCGCGAGGCATAAAAGTCTTCCGATCGATAGGTTTTCGCTATATAGTTTCGCCAATTGGTGCGCCATTTTTACGTCTGCGATTAAACGGGGCATGAAACTTGACGTAACCGATAGGTATCGATACGATAGTCGCGCGTTTCATTAATAATAGGGTCTATAGACGTAACGACTGATCGTACGGGTCGCCGTACGAAAAATGGTTACGTTCGCGATCCCCCGTGAGTCTCAAATCGTTTGAAGGCATTCATTCGAATGATTCGACACGACGGTGTCGATTTCAAACGTGAACGGTATCAAAATACGTCTCAGTCCCATCACTAGCCGTCTTCGTCGTTGTCGATGATCCGCGATCAACTCGAGAAAGAGATCGATAGTGTTCTAGCAAGCACAGCAGTATCAAGGTGTCGGTTAAAAACGTTTTCGCGTTCGCGCGGCTGCCGAGATGTCGATGACCGCGCGTTTTCAGTAGCGTTTTCCACGGTTCCGAGCCGCGCGCCCGTGTAACTACTCGCGGCGCAATCGTTGATCGTGAGCGACAGAGAGGAAAGGATCGGAAGGATGTATCGAGAGAACGTAGTGGCAAGAAACAAACGAACGAGAAACGCGACGAAATAGAGAGGTAGAGAACGAGAAGAGTTGACGCGGAGATAGTAAAATGTATAGGTTTAAAAGACTGACAAAAGAAGGACACAACGTATTCCCCTACGACTTCAGCCTGCTTCCGCAGGTTGGCAGAGTACAGGTCTCCGTCACCGCGCCTAAAACATTGTACCAATTCGATCGTTTTGGATACTCGAGCAACGGCTAGAGGTTGTAACGTCATGCAACTTTCCAGGGATAAAGAAAAAGTGAAACTCTGATTATCGCGCGCCACGGTGACTTCGATGCCAGAGATTGATATTACACGAGAAAGAGAGAGAGATAGAGATAGAGAGAGAGAGAGAGAGAGAGAGAGATACTAATCGAAGTTACCATTTGATACATTTCTTTCTGAAAACTTAACGCGAGCACCAGGGGAAGCACCGAAAGTCTCGGTTACGCCCCTGCCAGGTATCTCTAAAACGATCCGTTTGTACGTGATATTTCACGCGCGGCGACAGAGCGGTGCGATTTACCGTGTTGCAAAAGTAGGTTAAAATCGGAGGGGGATTGAGTCTTTCCCTCGCGAGAGACAGAGGGAATGGAGGAAAACGCGCGCAGTTCGCGAATCGCAGTAGCAAAGTCGCGCCAGAAAGCGTCCGCAACGAGAAGCGTTTTCGTTAGACGATTATTCCGGCGACGGATCCTAAACGTGTAAAAATACGTAGAAAAGATAAACATAGCGCTCGTAATCGCTATCGTGTCGAATAGTTTTACATCGATTATCATACACCGTCGTAAGCAAGGTCGACCGGCGGCCTGTGGTGAGACGGAAGGTAAGACGGCGGCGTAGAAGTACCTGGCGTGGCGCTGCCAACACTGGTGTAACCACCGGGATAATTCGCGCTGGGCGCGTGAATCCCTGCTGGTGGTGCCGGATAGGCATCGAAGGAACTAGAATACGAACCGTTGTAGGGATAAGGATTGGCCATGTGACCGAGGGATGGATGCATTCCTCCCATGCCGCTCATACCGCCCATCCCGTAGGTGCGTTGCATCAGGCTTGGCTCGAGGCCGCCGAAAAGGTACCCGTTCGTCGATCCCATCGGCACGGGATAATGAGGGCCGGGTATTATGTTTGGATACGAGTTGCCGGGATGTCCGTGGCTCATGCTGGGCGTGTAATTGCTAGACGCCAGGTTCTCCACGGTGTAAGATTTGCTGTGCTGCTGCTGTTGCTGTTGTTGGTGCTGCTGTTGCTGTTGCTGCTGCTGCTGCGAGTCCTGATGCTGACGGCCGTTCATGCTGTATAGGGACCCGTAGCCGTCGTTCGGGGAGTTGTGCAACGAACTCGCGTAGATCGTGCCGCCGGGTGCCAGGGGGGGACTATAATTGGACATTCCCGCGTTAGACATTCCGGAGAAGCCGGACAGATAAGATTGATGATGAGCCTCCATCTTTTCCGCGAGAGATCCGTCGTCGTTCATGCCCGGATGACCGTGCTGCAGACGCTGGCTGCCGCCGTCGGCTATGCTCGGTATTTGGTCGACTAGAGATTCCAGGTCGCTGAGACTCTTCGACGCCACGTCTTGGTTCCTCTTTATGCCGTACTGCTCGTGGGGATGGTGCGGCGACATCGACGAGTGGGTCGGCGTGTGGGGGTGCGTGTGCGGCGGAGTCGGATGGGAATGGTGCGAGTGGTCGTCGGTGGCTTGGCTCAGAGGCGTCGGTGTAGTCTGATGGGGATGAGGATTGTGCGGGTCCGAGGTTTGATCGTGGTAGCCCATGTAACTCGTGTAACTCGGGTGAGACGGGGTGCCAGGGCTACCGTGGTGGCCCGTGTTGTCGCCGTTCCCAGCCGGATTGTACTGACGATGATCGTTGTTCATGTTCTGCTGGGAGATGCTCGTAGGCGGCTCGAAGTCCGGGTGCTCGACGCTCGGCGACGTCAACGGCGACGGTTCCAGGTTGTTCTCCGAGGAGATCGCGGTGTTGATTTCCGACGACAGATCGGAATGAGTGAACGAGAGCGACATGGACTTTGGGCTCTGGCTGTAGTGCTGCAGGTGCACGGGGCTCTGTTTCGCGTTCATGCTGTACGGGCTGTCGTTCATGCCCTGGCCGTAGAACCCGGAATCGTTCATTTGTTGCGGGTACGGGGCCATGTGGGCGAATGTCTTTGGCGGCGAGAAACAGTTGGGCACGATCCCGCCGTAACCGTCTCCCAGATGACCCATGCTCTGCCGTTGTTGCTGCTGCTGTTGCTGTTCGCGTTCCCTCATCTCCCTCTCCTGTTGCTTCTGTTGCTGGTGAATCTTCTTCGGGCGACCGCGACGCTTCTTTATCACCACCCCGTTCGCGTCCAGCTTCTCGGGATCGGGCGGCGGTTGATCCTCCGGATTCTTTATTTTCTTCGGTCTGCCTCTCTTCTTCTTGCCGGGTATCTGGGAATTCGGTTCCTGTTTCACCAGCGTACCGTTCACGTCTGTGATCCTGCTCTCCCCCTCGTTCGTCAGATCGTCGCAGAACGGCGGCTTCTTGTCCTCGATCGCGTCGTGATCCTTCTTCTTGAGCTTCGAGTCCGCGAACACTATGTCGGACTCGTCTAGATGAGAGATCGTGCCGTTCAAATAATCGCGGAACTTCTTTAGCGCCGCGTAGTATGGCACCTTATCCGCCGCTCGCGGCAACTGTGCGCATCTTGCGCTGCTCGATGGCATCACCCACATGTACTGCAACCGAACGTTTATCGTATGTTATTGGGAACATTTTATCCGCAACGTGTAACCGGATTTTTAATTTGTTTTTCGCCTTACCGTGTTGGTACCCTCGATCAGATTGGGCTGCCTGCCGAAACCAAACTCCTTCTTCCCCGAAAATACTTCGTAGATCAGTTTACCGTTGAACACCGCGATCTTCGGCTTGTATTTCCGTAATTTCTCTAACAGAATGTGACTACCTGTAAAAGAAATACAATTTCACAAACCATACAACTTTTATGTTGGTAACGCGTATTAATAATTTTATACGTAGATACGATGAACTTTTAATACGCTTCTGTCTTTAAAAAATTGAGTTCAATAAACTTCAGATTGTACAGGTGTCTATGATTGGACAGATGTTTGAAGTTTAAATTAGACAGTAACTAACTAGAAAGTATAAGTACAGTAGTGCCCACATAAGTGACCAAGCTCGTGACCGGCCGTGGTCATTTATGTGGGCACTTAGCTTCTTTCCGTATCTCCGTTGAATTCTGAGAAGTAACCGTACCCACATAAGTGACCAAGCTCGTGACCGGTCGTGGTCATTTATATGGGCACGGTTGCTTTTCAGAATTCAACGGAGATACGGAAAGAAGCTAAGTGCGAAACCATATATACAATGTATCGATAACGACCGGCATCAAGTTACGCTCGACATGCTCGATGTACGAAGCCACTTGGCTTCTAAGAATTGGTGGGGATAACCGCGGTCACTTGTGTGGGCACTACTGTAACTTGCACTCGGTATAAAATCATTACCACGTTTAGATAGATTTGTCTATTTCATCGTTGATAAATATTAAATTTCACCAAACTATTTTGTCCCTAGAAAATATATGTACACTCGGAATCGCTTTTGTTCGGACAATCTAACCTATATTTACCATCTAGAGTATTTTCTATTTAACAAATAATAACTATTCAACAATTATCAACGAACAAAGAAGCCAAGCGAGGCGATTCAAATTCAAATTCGTCGAAGTTGATGCCCCAGTCCCGCCACTGTCCGCACGTGGTCGGATGACAAACTGTTGGTCGCGACAATACCTTTGTTCGTCGCTGCATACTGTTTTTTAGAAGAGTCGTTCGTTTCCGGGCTGTGTCGCGTTGTTTGGAACGCCCTGTATATTTTCGATAGCTAGATAATCGCGCAAATATGTCCGCTTAGTTCGAACGAGCGTTCGGTTCGTCTCTACGCTTGATTCGTTCATTGTTTTAAAAGCGATGCATGGACCGTGATTCTTGCACACGAGAGAATTTCGAGCGACGAGGTTGGCAACATTGGGATGCCGCGTGCCGCCAGTCTCCTCGCGGCGACGATCGCATAGCGAACTAGTCGAAACCGAAAGCCGATCGGAATATTCCCGTTGATTTTTCTTGATTGTTTTTGTTAACAGAAGAGTTACGTAGACAGTGGGATGATCGTTTTAACTAGTCAGCGACGAATAAAAGAAGTTCAGTGATCGCGACACCCGATAGATCGTGAATCGAGGCTCTGTTGTTCGTCGTCAAACTTCTCGGTGCTGGCAAACATCCAGACGAAGTAAGTAAACCAACGTTTATCGATACATGCTCGTTGTTGCTTGCATTTTCGTCCAGTGAATCTTATCTCGCGTTCTACATCGGTTTATTTTATTCCGTTCTTTGCGTTCGTTCGTCGAGTCGGAATCTCCGAACGCCGGCTTACAAAAGGTACAATTTCGTTAGATTTCTATTTATTAACGACTGTCTCGCGTGTAGTTACGAGCGATCGGTTCTCGAACACGTTGATAAAGGCCTGTCGCGTAACGAAGCGAACGTTTTTTCGCGAACGACGCGTGAGAATGAAAATTGCTCGCTGTCCGCCGTCAAGGACGCAATTTCGTTGTATCTCATTTCGGTTGCGAGGGACCAAATCAATCAGCCTCCATCGTCTCGACGAGACAGCATCGTCTTCGACCAGACGAAAATGCACGCGACGGATGAACTGTATTTTAGAACGGGAGGATTATTTTTATCGTCGCGGATTAACACGAATAAAGACAAAATGAAAAATTTAATAAGGGAAGAAACGAATATATCTAGAAATAACTGTAGACTTGCACCGTCGATCCGCGATCTCCATTATTGTTTTGACATATTTTTCTTTGTTTATAACGTTTACTGAAACTCCAGTCGATCAACAAATATTATCTTTTGCGATAGAATGGACGTCGAAAGCGTCGAAAACTTGGCGATTTTTCTGTCGTGAAGTTCGTTGTAACGTAATGTTCGGTGCCGGAAGTGGCTGGTTTTTGTCGTCCATGTGTGCCCGGTATGTTCAATGTCGTGCACGCATTAGAAAGATGATCGGGGGGCTTAGCGACAAGATCGTGCTTATGTCTGGCTCGACGAAAGCTTGAAAATTCGTTCGGAAAATTAATCACCGATATTATACGAATATAACGAGAAATCGAATGTTATTTGCGTCCTTTAATTAATAGCCGAGCGTACCGCGTTTCGACGCTTTTTATATTTCGAAAACGCGAGATAATTGTGCAATTTTAGTTTAAACGCGTTAGACTGTGACCCACACGAAGAAACTTCAAAGGGGAGCCACTCTTTTAATGTTTCGTGCGTTTAATCGAAAATGTTTTCATCCGATTTTTTTCCACTTTGTGCCGAGCGATCAGCTTCTTTCGTTATTCCAGTTCCTCTCGTTTGAAATTTTTGAAAACGTTCAACGTTCCTCGCGTTAATCTAACCTTTCTGCTATTAAATTAAATGTCCTCGTTTTTGAAATAGCACCGAAACGTAATACAAAGTAGAAAATGTCAAGCATCGAATTGAAATAGAACCTCGAAAATTGAAAATCTGTAGATTATACAGAAAGCCATAAATCACTGAAATAACGCTGTTTTAAAATCGGAAAAATCCCAACAATTAACAAATTAAAATTTCAGGGAACATCTTAATAGTTAATATTTTCGCAAATTACATTGCTTATACTATCCATCAAATTTCGTCTGGATTAGACAAAAATAGGAGTTACAGAGAAATCACAAACACACCGATTTTAAAAATTTTTTAAATTCGATTCCTGGATTCATTACTTTGTGCTTTAGTGAATTTTATTTTCAAGAGACGCTGGAAACATCTCAAGTAAAATATTCTTAATATCATTTAGTACCGCAACGTCCTTCGACATCAATTAGAGACATCACTTTGACCTCCCACATAGTCACATTCAGACACACTTTATCAATATTTGCATTCTAAACTGGACCAATAATAAATGCTTTATGTCGACTGATTTCAAGATAGATTGATAAATTAGTCAATAACAAATATTCTTATATTCAAATATAACCGTGCAATATTCAATTTTAGAATTTAGATATTTGTTCAAAAGTGTGTGTTGAACAGTTGCTTTTGCTGTATAATTTGTCCTAAATTGTTTTAAAAGCAGTTACGAACGGGTTAAAGGAAACTCTTTATCGGTGTGTTATCGTCTACTGACCTTCTTTTATTTCTTTCCTCGTGAGATCGGCGCTGCCTTTGGTGGCGCGAGCCACCATATTTGTGAAACCGATACCGAAGCGCAACAGCTTGTAATCGTCATCCGCCGTCAGTGGTTCGGGTGTCAGTCCGCTCAGGTGTAAACACTTCCCTGAAAAAGTCATTTTAATTGCACGTTAGAAACGCCGAAAGAACCCGGAGTCACGCTTTTTCCCCGATGCTCGCGGGAAACGCGCCAAGAATCTTTGCCGTTTAAGTTCGACCGATATCCATGGGGGACGCGGGGGCGGGGAGGGTGGAATTTCAATGGGTCTGGGTCAAACGTTGTCGCCAAACTGTCTGGAAGTTCCGACTTGGTTTCATAAACTCGCGACGATAAATCGGTCGTCGGCGAAAGAAAATGGAAAGCGTAACTCGGCGTTACGCGGAGTTATGGATGTTGGTAAACTTGAAAGAATCGTGTATTCTACAATAATAGGAAACCACTTTTCTTTAAGAATTCCTGTACGTTTCTATTTCCACGTACGCTGATTCTCTGTTGAACATTTTTCAAAGTTGCTTCCACGTTGTTGAATTGTACAATCGAATACAATTGATATAATAAGCACACACCATCGAAGCATCGAATAGTTTCTGTTGTTTACATAAATTATTCGAACAAATATTGAGGGAGGAAGGAGGGGGGACAATCTAAGACGAGTACGAAAGAAAATATGTGGGCAACTTTATCCTTTGCTAAAATAAAGGAAAATTTACGGAGAAAATTTTGCGGGATTTCGTCGCGATAAATTATCGCGGGAACATATAGTAGCTCTGCAGGATTAGCCACTTACTGCATAGTTTTTTTTGTTTATATCGTTTGACGAGGAAGATATTTATTTAAAGGTGTGAAAAATCCACTGGAATTAATATTAGAAACAGATAAATCGGCGATAGGGGATCGCACGGGATCAGTCAACAATTAAATATAATATGGATGTTGGCGAACATAATGAGTCCGTTTCGAACGATCAATCTTACAAACAAAAATAAAAGCGATACGGAGTGAATATTTAACGACGTATCGGCCACGTTTCAGTCTTCATCACGTCCAAATCTATTAGCATCCGTATTTTAAAAATGGGCCAGTCCACCCCCGATTGACATCCAATATTTTTTGCATACAGAAAATTGAATATCGTCGGTCCCCGTAGACTATCACGCGTTAATTAATATTTTAACAATGTTAACGTAACAAAAAAAGACAGAAACGAATTAGCATCGTAATTGGACTATTAAGTGTTCGTTGTTGATGCTGAAAATTTTCTCGCAATTAAAGGAACAAATGGAACACGTGTTTGGCGGAAAAGTTTTCGTGCGACGAGAGACGAGGGGGGGGGGCGAAAACGATTCCTCCGTCGAATGAAACGTAAAGCGGCGGGAGCCGCGATAATTCGCGCATTATTTGTATCGTTAAGAGCTCGAGCCGCGGTACAGAGAAGGAAAATGCTTTTCCCGTCCTCTCTTAATTACCGTGCATTTTTGCTTTTCGAGCACTTTCCCGCGGAACAGCCGTTTTCACGCTTTGTGTCGTCGCGGCAATTTAGAGAAACTACTTGTCAGCGGGCGCGATTGTGCAGCAGGTGTTACAAAACGTGCGCCGTTCAAACGGATTAAATAGGTCTGGGTCAGGCTTGGTCGATTCTTTTTATTTTCCTCTCGGAAGTTTAGTCATAAATCGCGGCTTTTGCGCCCGGCCGTCCGCTTCCTCGCGGAAAATTATTGTCCCGGAGGCGGGAAATTTGTTTAGCGACCCCCCCTCCGCCCCCCTCCGCCCCTCACTCTTTGGATTTCCCGATCGATGGGACGACTCGCACCGATCCGCCTCGCCTCTTGTTATTAAGTTTCCTAGCGCGTATTTATCTCCGTTCCCGCTCGTAGAAATTATGTACCGTCCGGTAATCGACTTAAACGTTGACATCGCGAACGAACGTTTAAGTCGATAAATGGAATTACCATCGTTGCATTAAATCGAAAGGAATATACTATTTATCCTTCGACTCCGTTGCTCCGGCAGAATGGAAAGTGTTACGAATTATGCGCCCCGGTCTCGCGCCTCGGGCTTCTAACTTTATTTCCTCCGAAACATCCCCCGACATCCACCGTCCGCGACTATAAATAACATTTGAAATTAACGCGTGGACCGAACCGTAAAATGGAATTAAAATAGCGAAGTGGTTAAAAATTTTGGCGGGAACGGAACTTCTTAACATAACTTCGAACCCTTTTCGACGTACAATTTTAATTAGTCGAACGGTACGGTGGTAATAGAGTAATTTTTGCGTTTAATTATTTCATACTTTAGTCTTTACGACTACGGGTGGCAGTAACCGACTGCAAGTCAGCGTAAAAGGCAAAGCTATTATATTGTTGGAGTGATAAGGGTTAATTAAATCTACGGCGCAATTTGTCGAGCTACATAGTCGAGCGTTCCAGGGCGAAAGAAAGATCAGCCCCGAGTTAAAGGGGTGTGTGGCACCATCAGTCAGTAGAATACAAACACGAAGGCTGACTAGAACGTCTGACCTAATACGGACTCGACCTCCTACGATCTTCCTTCTACTCGTGCTCAAAGAAATAAAACATTCCAAAGTATAATTACTGAATTTACCGCCACGGAGCAACGGTCCTGGCCCAGTCACGGGGGATTACCCTTTTGCAGAGCGTTTCGTAATTCGCGGTACGACGTTGCGATTCCGAAACACTCGCGTCCCCGTTTCGTTCGTCACGGTAAATCGGTGATACGTGGCCGGGACGCGGAACGGCAAAGAAACCGGAAGACCGGGGGTATAAAGAACGTGGTAACGTCGGGCGAGGGGGGGTGAGGGTGGCTGGTGGAGGAGGAAACGGGACGTCGCGAGCGGAAGAGAGACGCGGGGGTCTGCGGTCGCGAAATTACAGACGTCGCCGAAGTATATCCCGCGAGCGTTTAACCCCGGCAGCGGCAGATAGAGATTTATGACGCGGCCTCGGAAATTCTCTCCCTCTTGTCCTCCCCGGTCTCTCGCCTCCTCTCGCACCACCGACCTACAGCCGCACCACACGACCTTGGAGAACTTCGGAACAAAGTTAAACGCTCGCGTCTGCCGCGGCCGGTCGGAACACGCTTTCCCCGCGAGCGGAACGTTTGGTTCGTTCGCTCTTCAAGTCAACGTGGTTGGCACGGGAGCACGGAACGCTGGAGAAGGGGGGGGGGGTGGGAAAAAAAAACGATAGAAGGTAGGAAAACGAGAGGGAAACCCCTCGCCCCTGCGCCCCTCTCTTGGGTCGTGGCTCGAGAAAAACTTCCTGTTCGATGGCCTCTGGCGCGCGTTTACACGCACGCGGAGGATCCGTCCCGTCGACGAGACCCCCCTTCGAACAAGACTAACGGCCGATCGAACAAACTTTATCGAAGCGAAACGCGACCCTTCCCTGTCGTTCACGACGCTAACCTAACCCAACTTGACTTCCCTCGACCTTTCCGCGTTACCTACGTCACCGGCGGGTCTTTTCCGCAAGAAGTCCAACCCCCCGGAGAAGTCTCGTGTTTTCATTTTTTACCCCGCGAACAAGACGAAGGTATTAGTCGACGTTTCCAGCCACGAAAATTGAAGAAAAGCCACGTCGGACGACTACCCGGTATCCCCCGATTCAGGATTTCTCCAACTTCACCCTCGTCGAAGGAACATTTTCAGCGGAATTTTGTTGCGGTTGTGTTCTGGGTTCTTTTTAAAATTGGCAAACTCGTGTTGGATATCTTCTATTTATTTTATAGCATTCGCGGAATTCTTAGTAAATCTTTCCAAGTAAAAAGTGTTGCAGTTGTAATAGTTCCAGGAAGAATGTAGTTCAAAGGGGCATCGAAAGTTCCAAGATCTTGAATGCCACTTTTGACCAGAAATGTATTTTTGATGAAGTTCTCCCAGGCAACTTATTTTTCAATTGCTTTATGAAAAAACGTGGTCTCGAAGCGTATACAAAAATGCTGTCTTTAATATTAATATCTTCTCAGAAACCTACGATCCAGCCCTTTAATGGTTGATACTAGTAAAAGTCACTTTTCAAAATTAAATGGCCACTTCAGCAAGTAACAGTTTTAATAACACGTTCACAGTCCATTGACCCATATTTGAATCAGCATGCTCTCTACTCAAACGTTCCCTGACCCATATGTACAGCGTGAATGCGAGTTAGAAAGTTACGTTAAAATTTTGTCGTTTATGTGTAAGCAATAATCGGGGAATAATGCCAGACGATGGAAATTGCGTTTTCTATCTCGTCAATGGACTCGTATTACACGTTGTTTGCGTAAACACGACGCACTGGTGTAGGCCATACGTTGTCAATTGGGTTAGAATCGGGGTAGCCGAGCAGGTCATGCCAATAATTCGATACCGTGACTATTAAACTAGGCTCTTTTTCCAGGAAAAGTTTAAACGAAGTTACACTTCGTGTAAAAGAAGTATAGCTTTAACAAAGTGGCATAACTTTGTTTGAAAGTCGAACGAGAACCAGAAAAATGTAGATCTTTTCCTTCGAAGCGAAATTCTAATGGCGGTAACTGCCTACCAGGATCAATTAGACAAACGTTACACCGCTTTGCAACTAGTTCAATAATTCAGCGATTCAATATAATTCCTCTATCGCGGAGATATATTCTATGGAAGAAAAGGTGGACTTTCTTTACATGGCACGACGTCACTCAGGGACGTCCTTAATAACTTCACATAGTACGTCACTCTTTGCAAACAACTGCAGTGTGTGTAGTTGCCAGTGAACGTTCGCAGCGAATCCGAGAAGCGTTATTTTAAATTCCATCATTTTTCCCAGGGAACTCGGTAAGGATGTGTACGCGGAGTAGAAAATAAATCTCGTTTCCTTTTGTACTTATTTCACCCTAATCCTGCCGATGGGGGGGGGATGACTTTGGGTCACATGCCAAGTTTAAGTAACTGCGGGAGTCTAAGTAAATTTGGTAGTGAAATTTTATACGGGTCGTAACTTAAGACGAAAGCATTTTATAACTGCTTTGTAAGTTGCACATAAATGGGGGTGGATTTCGACTTTGGAACGTGATCACGTTGATGGTCAATATTTCAATGTTTAGAAGTTGACTGGGGTGAAATTAAT